GGTTCTTAGGAATCAACAACTACAATATTCTTTATGATACCAGACGATAATGCTAGGGTAATAATCTAGTAGAATAAATCTGTGCCAGTTAACAATCTATTTCCTGAGCCCCACATGTGCCCTTCACTATTTCTCCGTTATGGTGAGCATGTTAGGTGCGCTCAGTAGAGGGCGCTGGAGGCACAGGAGGGAGGAAAGGACTCTTGCTGTTTTGGCTGTTGCCTGGTGCCTGAAGGGTGTGGTGTGAGGAGTCTGAGGGAGTTCTGCCCCAAGCACAGGTTTCCGAGGTGACTTGACAGCCTCAGCAGGAGATAACCTTCTCCCAGCCCTGCGGACTAGAAACCCACACTCTGATGGATTCCAGCAAGCGCCAGTGCCCCAAAGGCATCCTGCCAACCCCTGTGCAGATCACCTGCAACTCGGAGGGTTTCCACTGAGCAGCCACCCCTTCTGCAGCTCACTACCTGTGCAGGTCCTGCCGGTTGGTTGCTGACTCAGTGCACTGGATTGCACCCTGGGGGGTTGCTCTCTGCTTGCCCAGGGACTGCCGACCAGCTCTGGCTTGGGCAAACCAAGAAACTTCTCTGTTGTCAGTGGGCTGAGTTCTCCCACATCTGAACTCCAGCCTTGGGAGGGGGGCCCTTTCCAAGCTGGTCTTTCCTTGAGTACTCTCCTTGGGCTCCAGGGTATCATATCAAATTCTTTATGTCCCATAGTCACCCGTTTATCAGAATTTAATCATTCTTCATATTGAACTTTTTCTGTTCAACCCACTGTGTAAAGCAATGGCAAAATCGGTGTTTTCGCAAAAAATGCAGCTGTTTTTTTTTCCTTTTGGAAGATTAGAGAAGGGTTTATAGAATGAAGTAGGACTAAATGAGCCAGTTTCCTCATTTGCAACTTTGCCCTTGCCTAACTTTGATTTTAGGGTTTTGAAACTGGACCACGGCTCCTTTCACTTCTCAAAGGAAATTAACACATTTTTGTCTCATCAGCTCGGCTGTCATAATCCACGCCAAGAGACATCGGAACGCGTATGTAGCATTCGCCTCACGAGGAAGCAGCAAGACTCTGAGCAGGGCCCCCCTGACAAGTCGTGATTCACGTCACTGCAGAACTTCAGATTATGGACATTGTGTTCATTCCTTCTGAGGAAAAATAATTAGTGCAGTTGAGCTTGAATAAGTGCTTAGCTTGTTTAAATTTACAACAGCTCTAGGAGAGAGTGAGCAGGGGAAAAAACCCATATCACAGCCTTGGGGATTTTATGATCGTATTAACTCACAATAATGTAGTTAATGAGAATCAACATGACGGGGCTTTGATTATCCGGATTATTACATAAATTCATGATAGTCTTATTGTGATCCTAACAATATAAACTGTATGAATGATTGGTGTCAGTGGCTCTCAAATGTTAAGATACAGATCCTGGCCTACTTGACTGTGTCCCAGCAACTGGCATTTAAAAAAAAATTTTTTTTTTATCCTCACCTGAGGACATTTTTGCATTTATCTTGAGATAGAGCAGGAGGGAGAGAGGGCAGAAGAGAGAGAGAGAGAGAGAAACATCGATGTGAGAGAGAGACATTGAATGGTCACCACCCACACGACCCCAACCAGGGCCGGGGACAAACTGGAACCGAGGTATGTGCCCTTAGCGGGGAACCGAACCCAGGTCTCTCTGGTCTGCGGGCTGATGCTCTAACCGGTGAGCCAAACTGGCCAGGGTGCAACTGGCATTTTTAACAAGTATTCTGCGATTCTGAGACAGAATATCTTGCCTGCATTTTGAGAAACCATGATTTAGTGTCTGAATGAGCTCCCACAAAAGTGGGTTTATTTAGAAATAATAGATAGGACAACTTCCTATGTCCCTTTCTGACACTAAAATGGTCTTGATCATTTTATCCCATGCTTCATCTCAGAGGTAAGGCAGCAGTAAGCACCTTGTCTCCAGGAAACTGTTTCGATGGAAGGGCCCCTTCGTGTCCTCCTGACGTCTTTATATATTGATGGAGATAAAGTTATTTCTGGCTAAAGTTTTTACTTTTTCTTGCCCACAGTAAGGTGACTAAAACGCATGCTGTTCTAACAAAGAAAAAATAATTCCAACCTAACAGAATAAAGCCAGTAATATTATGGAAAATTAAACTAAAGAGAAATAAATCTGGACTCATATAAGAATAAAAAGCCAATATTTTTCTTGGTATCCAGGGGTAAAAACCCAACATCTTAGTAAAAGATGTTTGAATGAAATACATGCTTAAAGGTAGCGCTTGTATTAGGAATAACTGTGATCTCGCTTTGAAAATCAGAAGTGATTTCAGATCAGATATTCACAATGGAAGACTAGGAGAAGTGGGATGTCCCAGGCTCTCAGTGAAGCTGTCCCTTCTAACATCAACAGAAAGCCACTGATTCTTAGGGGTTGACCCAAACTTGCCAATCTTCAAGTTTGGCAACCAGTCGTGCAAAATGAAACCTAAAATGTCCCCCTGGAGCGAAGGGGAAAATGTTTGGTTTTGACAGCGTCTCTCGGAGGAACTCAGACACTTGCACTTTGGATCCCCCCTGCATTCTTTGGGGTTAGGCGGCCACAAGGAACAAAGCAGCCCAAGGAAAGGCTGAGTCAACCAACATGTAGCAACATGCCCAGGGACTTCCCAAGTGGCCCAGGAGGTAGGAGGCCTCCCAGTTTGTCGCAGGACGTTGTCCTTTCTTGGGACTTCAACCGGCCTCTTAGTCTCGCATTTGGATTATTTGCAAGGCCATCCACTCCCACCTGACTTCTGATGGGACATGGCATTTCTGAAATGACCGTGTATGAGGACCGTTATTGACTGTTAACATTCTTGATATCATATATGTCCTGAACCCTTGCCCAATAACCTGCTCATGGTTGCTCTGTCCATGATCTCGGTTGAGAGGATAGTGTTGGGAGGAAAAAGGATAGCTTCCACTGTAGCTGATACTTTTTTATATAGTGGGAAAAGAATTCAATATAGAAAAGGGATAAAGAATAGGCTTATTTTTTCTTTATTGATTTTAGAGACAGAGGAAGGGAGAGGGAGAGATAGAAACACTGAGGAGAGGGAACATCGATCAGCCGCCTCCTGCATGACCCCCACTGGGGATTTGGCCCACAACCTGGGCATGTTCCCTGACCAGGAATCGATTTGGTGACCTCCTGGTACCTGGGTCGAGGCTCAACCACTGAGCAATACCAGCCGGGCAAATGGGCTTATTTTCTAGCTGAAGGCATTTAAAAGTTAACAATGAACATTAAGTTAGTGGTTTCTTCTCATCAGAGCCCAGAGGTCAAGTCCTGTTACAATAAATATCACACCCACTGAAGAATTAGACTTCAGAGTTGTACTTGGTACGTCACTCATTTCATGTAACAAAAGGAGAGGCTGTCCTGGGAGGGTCATCAGCTTTCAGGTGCTTGTCGAGTGCCAAGCAGCATCACCTGCTACTCTAAGGGGGTCACTAAGTTTGATACGTACACATTAGAAAAGTGATTGGAAAAGATTAATTGCAGCATGTCCCCAGTCAGATCCTTAAGAAGAATAGTTTTGAAGAGTGTTGGGAATTAGGAGCCCTAAATCCCTTGAGCAATAACAACTGAAGACATTTAGCTTCAACCTGGTCTGACTGATGCAAGGAGCCACTGAGTATCAGCAAGACGCAGTTAATTACTGAGTGCAGTTGATTTCAGCCTCCAGCGTTGGCTTAAGTCTGATGAAATGTCAGTTAGATGGACTGTTTTTCTCTACTTCAAAATGACCACGTGGAGCAGCTGTTGAAGGCTGTCACGGGTTCCACTGATTTCCTGGAAATGGGACCTCTGGATGTACGAGCAGCTCTTGCAAACTTTCCTGGGGAGCTAAGGTGCTGTCTTACTGGATGAGTGGAGTCAGTCAGTGTAGAACCTCCACAGAGCAGAGCAATGGCTTTGGTTGATTGCTCCTGAGAAACTTCTAGGTGGTCTATTGCTTAAGTTTGTCAAAAGACATCTGTACTGGGGACCAAAACTACACTTTGAAACTTTTAACTAGAAGGTACATTTCCTTCAGTAATTAAACATACTAAGCACAATTTTACCCTTGTACAGGTTTCTCTCTCCAGTTCTCTAGGACTGATTGCTATAGTTCTTGAAGCCCAAATTAGCAGAGGTAGCCACCAGACACGGTTCAAGTACATGTGAAAACAACAAAAACCAAAAGCACAGCCTAGGACGCATCACCTGCAAAGTATTAGCATAGCCTGCCCCCCCCCCCCGGGGTTCCAGTCTGTTTTAACAGACTTAGCTTGGGTTCTTGAGTATCCTCGAGGACGTTATTGAAGCAGGACCGTGCACAGTCAATCTTCAGATGTTGAAGGAATTGTTACTAGTGGTTGATAGGGTTGACGTAAAAAAAACTTTTAAAAACAGCATCATTAAAATAACCTGATAATCTCTCACTAAATAGGCTGTACTTAGCCCAAATCCTGTACAGGACAGCATGCATTCAGTTTTGAATGGTCTTGGTTTCTGACCTTTCTCGTCATACAGGCTAGTGAGTTGCTGTCCTTGTTAATCAAATAGGGCTCGATGTCCCACCACAGTGAGGACACGTAGCCCTAGGAAGTGATGCAGTGACCCTAATGCCTAAAGCCTTCTTCTGGGGGGGCGGGGGGCTCCTTTCTGCTGGCTGCAGTGGACCAGCGCAGACCGGCAGCACTGGAAACTGGGGTTCCCGCAGGACTCAGATAAACACAAGTGTAGGAGGTCTACCCGTATTTGTAAGAATAAGGCAGACAAGTCAAGAGTTTAAGGAAAAACAAATCTCCACACTCATTGTGACTATCTTTGGAATTCTTCATTTCATTAAGGGTTTCACAAAATACAAAGCTCCAACATAATTGTCTACGTCCACCACAAAACAGAATCAAATAAGTGGTTAGCACACAAACATAATGATCTTTTTCATTTTTAAAAATATAAATAACATTGTTTAAGGTTTTACAATTTTGTGTGTGTTTCTCTTTAAGGCTTTATGTTGCAGATCCTTCATTAATGAGTGCTGGAGTCTGTTGTCAGGATACACTGCCCACAAGTCAAGAAGGCCACTGTGGATACATTCCTGAGAGGGACACACACTGATCTCTGATGCTTAAGCCTGTTGAAAACTAAATAATCAAACAACCTCCTATCAGTTCTCACAGTTATCATTAATTTCCTTTCTATTACAAAGTAATAACAGAAAGGGATAAGTTCCCAGCAGCATTCAAGCTCTCAGATCAATCACGAAGGGCGAGAAGGAAAACAGTGTTTTTGTTTTTGTTTTTTTCCTGGATACAATCTTTTTCGTTTATCCAGAAAGCCCCCCGCCCCCAACCCCACAGGGTTTAAACAGTGGTTTGTACTGAAACATTTTTCAGATTAAATAAGGTTGAAAGAAAGTGTGATCTTTTGGTTGGATGTTTTATAAGAGGTTAAAGTGGAGAGGTTAAGGCTGGGAAAATACCACTGAAAGTACATCCCCCGACAGGAGTCATTTCGCTCGTGAGTTCTGGGGGCAGGGCCATGGCCCCCACCTTGGGGGTGAAATCTGAGGGGAGACTCTCCAGCAGGCACTTGACTTGCTCCTGGCCCAGTTTGATCTTGTCGTCCAGCTTCCGCTGCTCAATGAGGAGTGTCGACTTCATTTTCACAAAGTGCTGGTAATCCTGGAGCTGTTCCTCGGAAAGGTAATTGGCCAGGATGTCCAACACCACGCGTTCCCTTCGGTCCAGGTTCTCCTTGAGCTCCCGGGCATCCTCATGCTGGGCCGCCAGGACCTTCCTCTTCTCGTTGAGGGAGCTCTGCAGGGGCAAAAGGAGCAGATGAGCAAAGGGCACGGGGTGCGAGGACAGGCCAGCTGCCTGCGGAGACACTTCCACAGGCCTGCGGAACATCCAGGTCTCCCTTCCAATGTCCCTCTAGGTTAAGGAGATTGAATGCTTTTGTTTGTATTTGTTTATCCTCACCAGAGGACATTTTTTGCATTTATCTTCAGATAGAGTAGGGGGAAGAGAGAGAGAGAAACGCTGATGTGAGAGAGACACATCGACTGGTTGCCACCCACACAACCCCAACCAGGGCCGGGGACAAATAGCAACAGAGGTACGTGCCCTTATCAGAAACCGAACCCGGGACTCTCTGGTCCGCAGGCTGACACTCTAACCGCTGAGCCATACTGGCCAGGGCGGGAGATTTAATGTTTTCGAAAATCAGTTTTTTACCTTTTAGTTGCATGCTTATGGTTCTCTAACATGTGAAGTCTTGTGGCAGCTCTAATTTGAGAGCAAGTACCTTAAGTTGGCTGGAGTAATGACTTGACTTTTGGCTTCTATACTTAAAAGCATAATCAATTATTTCATTTATATGAGGTTCTTAGAATAGTCAAAATTACGGAGACAGGCAGGAGAGCGGTGGTTGCCAGGGACCAGGAGGTGGGGAAATGGGGAGTTATTGCTTAATGAGTCTAGAGTTTCAGTTTTGCAGGATGAAAGAGTTCTGGAAATGGATGCACAACAATATGAATGTATTAAATATTACCGAAGCAGGTACTTTCTAATGGTTAAGATGGCAAATTTTATGTTATGTGTAGTTTACAACAAAAACATTGAAGAGGGAAAAAAGGCCAGTCATCGAGTATTTCTATTTATAGTGCCTTTCCAAGAGTGGACCCAGCAACTAACCAGGGAATTTGTTAGGAATGCAGATTTTCAGGCCCTATTTCACCTACTGAATCAAAAGCTCTGGGGGTGGGGCCCCGAAATCCATGGTTTAACAAGGCTCCAGGTGATTCTTTTGCAGCTAAAGTTTGAGATCCTCTGTCCTAATCCACAGTCAGCAGTGGGAAAATCATATTTATCATCGTTAAAGAAATCAGTTTCCATTTTCCAGATCTCTTTCACTCCTCTGAATCTAACAGGACAAATTCTGTTTAATAGTGATGGCAATTTCATGTTCTGAGAGTTGCTTATACAAACCCAATGGTAAGGTAGCATATTATCTTTAGGCCTAATGCATTTTATAAGATTTTTACTTACCACGCTGACATATAATAAATGTTATTTTAAAAATTTAATATTTAACCATTCAGACTTTATAGGCCAAAGTGATTGAGAACATTAAAATGGAAATTAATCAAGAAGTAGATTTAAATATATACCTCAATACAAATTAGCTTATGTAGGGCTATGCAAGGCTCATGTGTCTCTGCCCTAACTTTCCTTCAAGTAACCTATCTTAACATAATGTCTAGGGGAAAAAGTGTAAAGTTATAGGTTTATCTTACAAATATCTTCACTTTCATAGGCTTCCTCTCCCTAATCAGAAACACACACCTAAAAAACCCTGATTTTGATTGAAGACACTTTTAAAAATACTGTAGAGATATGTTAAAAAGTGAGAACCTCTTCCTTGCCTTTAAAATATTAGGAAATAATTAATTTTTTTAAATTCTCACCCGAGGACATTTTTGAATATTTTGTTCAGATAGAGTGGAAGGAAGGGAGGGAGGGAGAGAGAGGGAGAGAGAGAGAGAGACATCGACGTGAAAGGGACACATCGAGTGGTTGCCACCCGCACAACCCAACCAGGGCCGGGGACAAACTGCAACCGAGGTACGTGCCCTTAGTGGGAACCGAACCCGGGTCTCTTGGGACCGCAGGCCGATGCTCTAACCGCTGAGCCAAACCGGCCAGGGCAGGAAATATTTTAAACACCAGAAAGGTATAGAGAATGATGTAATACCTGAGTACCCATCAATAACAGTGCCAAATCTCAATATGAACATTTTTCATATTTGCTTCAGATTAAAAATAAAAAAAATTAGATTCAGTTGAAACCTTACATATACTTATCCCAGTCCTCATCTTCCCCCTCCCTCCCCTCTGGTAACTATTATTCTGAATTGGCATTTATTGAACTACATAGTCTCCTTTTCTCACTGGTATTTTTAGTTTCTTTATTTTTTTATCCTTACTCGAGGATATTTTTCCATTTTTTGTTCAGATAGAGTGGGAGGGAGCGAGAGGAAGAGAGAGAGAGAAACATTAATGTGAAAGGGACACATCCAGTGGCTGCCACCTGTACGACCAACCAGGGCCGGGGACAAACTGCAACAGAGGTACGCGCCCTTAGCGGGAACCGAACCCGAATCTCTCTGGACCACAGGCCGACACTCTAACCACTGAGCCAAACCGGCCAGGGCTTTTTTTAGTTTTTTAACAAAGATTAATCATTACAAAAATGAATATTGATGTATTTTGCTGGTGAGCAACCACTTATTTGTATTTGCATTAAGTGTTGAGTTGAATTCAATTGTAGAACAACTTTTCCCAAGAAGTGCTCCAGTATTCCTATCTCCGATATCTGCAGCACCACCCAAGTGGCCAAACAGGACACTCAGAATTACCTTCTGTTCCACCCTTCCTCTTTTGTAACACACCTGCTAATTCAGACGCATTCTCTATCCTGATGACAACTGCCCAAATGAACAACCTGAAGCCTCTTGCTAGACCATTACAATAATTATCCCAACTGTAAGCATCGTTCTCACCCATCCCAGGCTGATTAAGTCATGACATTAGTTTATGGCTCTTCCTGGCCAATAGGCTAAAGAGTCCACTCCTCAGCGCTGCTTTGTGCCTAGGAAAGCTGGACTCTGCGGCTGCATCAGCGGGGCTCCCTTGCCCTCTGGGTTTGGCCAATAGGAGTCATGGGCATGAGAGTGGAGGGTGGGAGGAGAAAGACAGGGGGGCATTATCCCTGGCTCTGTCCTTGCCAGGCTGCATTCTTTCCCCAAGGCCTCAGTGCTGTAGCACAGCCGCAGCTGCAGTTCTGATACGGACCCTCCTGTTGCTCCTCCAGGCCGAGAGGCAGGAAGGGCTTCCCTGCTGAGGCTGGCTCTGGGGAACGGGGGGCTTTGTCTCTTCTTGGTTGACACTAATTCTTCCCAACCTTCAATGATACCTCTTTTTGTTATTTATGTATATGTATGCATATATTTTTAGATTCCACATATAAGTAAAATCATGTGGTATTTTTCTGACTGACTTATTTCACTTAACATAATACCCTCCAGGTCCACCCACATTGTCACAGATGGCAAGATTTCATTCCTTTTAATGGACAAGTAATATTTTATTGTGTGTGTGTGTGTATATATATATATATATAAATAAATAAATAAAATCACATCTGCTTTTTCAATTGTCTTTTGATGGACTCTTAAGGTTGCTTCCGTATCTTGGCTATTGCAGTGAAGATAGGCGTGCATATATCTTTTGAATTGTTTTAGATTTCTTTGGATAAATACACAGAAGTAGAGTGGCTGGGTCATATGTAGTTCTATTTTTAGTTTTTTGAGGAACCTATGTATTGTTTGCCATAGCGGCTGCACCACTTTATAATCCCACAAAAATGCGCAAAGTTTCCCCTTTCTACACATCCTATCACTTGTTTGTTGAAATATTGATGATAAGTCATTCTGACAGGTGTGAAGTGATATCTCATTGTGGTTTTAACTTGCATTTCTCTAATGATTAGTGACATTGAACATCTTTTCATATGTCCCCTTTGGAGAAATGTCTATTCAGGTACTCTGCTCAATTTTTAAATCGAATTGTTTGAGTCATCAAATAAAAAAGTTAGGGACCTACCTCTTGTCCAACCCCTGACTCCACACTTTTCTAGTATTTTCTATAATTTACAATCTCTTAAAACGAACCAAATAATCACTCTATGTTCTAAACCTAACCCTATGCAAATAGTTTTTGAAAAAGCCACAGGTCTTTCTTTACTTTGTCCATGATATCCCTTCTAAATTGTGAAGCCCTTCCACTCTCGGTCCGGCTACAGTTATGAAATTCTTCTAGACTCTACTAAGCCCCACTTACATGAAGTCGCCCAGCCTCACCCCGCCGCCTGAGCAGCGTTTCTGGGCTCTGGCTCGACCGCTGCGCTCCAGCGTACTGGGCACACGTGCTGCTTCCCGACTGGTTTTCTTCACTCTGGGGGGCAGGGCCTGCGTTTTTCCCTGTTCATCCCTGGCAGACGCAGCACCTAATGTATTACAGGTTGTCGTTCGCTGTTTGCTGAGTGGAAGCGAGGAGGAAAGCACTGCTCTTCTGAGGCAGGTGCTATTGGACAACTGCCAGCAGAGGGCGCTGAGGCCCAGCGCGTGTCCGTGAGGAGGGCGCTCAAGGGAGTGCAGAGGTTCTGGATACCTGGTCACATTCCCAGATGTCACCACCTGGACCTTTTCTAATCCTTGTAAAGTCAATTTGAAAAAAGACATCTTTCCTTTTAATGAAATGTATATTTTAGAAGAAATAATTAGGAAACCCCCGATAGCACGGAGAGAGAGACAGCTGTAGACAGGAGGAGGCGCCAGAGAGCAAAGGGGCTCTGGAGGGCTGGTGCGCTCACCACCGCCTGGTGGGTATATGCAGGGGGTTTGGGGGGGGTGGGGTGTGTGTGTGTGTGTGTGTGTGTGTGTGTGTGTGTGTTAGCTACATTCAGCATCTGACTTCCCTTGGTTCTAGGAGGGATCTGTGTTGTTCACAGATATATTCTAAGTGCCCAGTCAGTGGCACAAAATAGACACCCAGCAAACGTGTTGTACGGACAAGTAGAGGAAGAATGCTCAGTAGCAATGGAATGAAGTTCAGTGAGGTGAATGATACTTGGGGTCTGCAGTGGGACTCCGCATATCGGGGCTCTGTCACTCACTGGCCTGTCGTGAGGGTTCCATGAGGCTGCACGAGAAGTGTGAGCCCACAGCGCCGGCTCGGGAAGCACTTGACTTTTATCCGGTGTTTCCACCCATCACTGCCTGTCTCTTCCTTCAGTAAGGGTGGTGGAGACACGCCCCCCAGGTGAACTGCAGAATCCCTGGGACTTGAGCTCATGTTCTTGCACCTTCTCCTCATCCCCCGATGTTCTCTTGGCCCTCTCTCTTCTTACAAGGTCAACCCCCATTAGAAAGGAAGGAAAGAAACCCTGGCACCTGTGTTTTTCTTGCCTATGTGTTTCCTGAGTCTGCAGAGTCAGCATTACATCTTGGCATGGAACACGCCCTCTTCTCTGTTTCCTGCTTCTCTATACTTTGGACTCTCTCCCTGCCCCACACAGATAGTAATCTTCCTGAGCAAAGGGGCCATGTCTAATTGTACTTCTCTGTGTATGTGGGCTCAGAGGGAAACTCTGAACTGAAGCGCCAGGTCACCTACCCTTTCTTCCTTACTGGCATCTTCACCAAGGCCACTGAGGACGTTCTCCACGCGGGCCAGGCGCCCCGAGAGCGACAGCAGCAGGTTTACCACCTTGTCCAAGTCCCCGATGAACATCTTGTACTTGTCAAACTCATTGGGCTTGCAGAGCTCACTGATCAGAGCCTCCACCTCTTCTCCCAAGGCGTTATTGAGCTTGATGTCCATCAGCAGACTCCCCTTCGCTTCCTGGAGAGTCTGAAGCTTGTGGGTGAGGCTTCCGATCAGCTCGGCCTGTAAGGACAGAGGAGACCCACAGCGAAGGTTAGCCAGCCGGAGTGGTCAGAGGAAGGAGGATTCTGTTCTCCCAACCACGTCTTCTCTTTGAGGCTCAGCTGAAGGCCCCCCACTCTATATGGACTGCCCCCCACATTAGGCCACAATACTCCTTCCTCTCCCTGAATGACCACAGTTGTCTTTCTCTGAACCTCTTCAATCCTCACAGGCCAACACTTGATTAAACATCGCCTCTTAATGCTTTCCGTGTTGTGCTGTGTCCAGCTGACTTCCCAACTGGTTTCTTAAATATGTATTTTAAAAGTCTTTTTAAAGTTACATTCTCACTTGATGCTCACAACAATACCATAGGCAGGTAGGGTAAATAGGCTTGTTTTACAAATAGTAAAGCCAAGAATCAAAGAATTATGGGACTTGCCCAAGATCACAGATACCATTTATAGGGCAATTACTATGTGCTAGACACTGTATGAGAAACTACAGGGATCATCTCAGTCTTCCCAACAGTTCTGAGGTAGACACTGTTTTATCCACATACCACAGGTGAGGACACTGACTCAGTGAGGTGAAGTGAGGTCTAAGACACACGTACTATCAGGAGGGGCTGCCCTGAACACAAATAAGCCTGCCTTCAGGGGTTCCCTTGAACAATCATTATAAATATTCATGAGACCTTTATCAGAATTCAGCTCCTTGTTTTTTCCACTTCACCCCACTGTCCCCATTTACATGAGCTATGTAATGTGCCACCTTAATTCCTATACACATAAAACAGTTACACAAATAGTCCATATTTAATTGAAGGAATAATGTAAAGGTCTTAGTGGTTTCAAGCTTGACTTCATTTATATGAACCTACTTCTACGCTGCAAGAGAAGTTCAACTCCATGGCTTTTGATGCTTTCATTTCTTTTCTCTTAGCCTGAGGTAGCCAGATAGAAAGATGACATAAACTTTTGGGGTTAAAACCTATTTCTTTCCCACTAAAAAGGTTCCAGCTCAAATGCGTGTGTTTATGAGAGAGAAAGGGAGAGAGAGAGAGAGAGAGACCGAGCTGTGTGGCTCCACTTGGAAACTTGGTACAAAAGGGTCACCATTTCTATGTCAGATTAAGTCTTCATTTTAAAGGAAAGGAAAAAATAAAAAGTTTTGACTAACAGAATTGAAGGATACTAATGACTTGTACTATTTTTAAACATCAGAATCAGAATACAATAATCCACAATGACAAAGGGAAATATTTATTTCTCCACAATCGCCCATCTTGGAATTGGACCACCAAACATACTACAATATAAGTCAGTTCATGATGTTCTTAAAATGTCCCAGTTCTGGGTGATTCATATTGTCTTCTCAACACTGCCTTAATCGGAGAGGCTGAAGGGTGATTAACAAGTTTCTATTTGACCCCAGCCAGGTGGCTCGGCTGGGGTCATCCTGTACACCAAAAAGCTTTTGGGTCTGATTCTTGGTTGGGGCTCGTATGGGAGACAGTCAGTTGATGTTTCTCTCTCTCCCCCTTTCTCTCTCTCTCTCTTTTTTATCCTCACCCGAGGACATTTTTGCATTTATCTTCAGAAAGAGTGGGAGGGAAAGAGGGAGGAAGAGAGAGAGAAACATAGATGTGAGACACATCGAGTGGTTGCCACCTACACGACCCCAACCAGGGCTGAGGACAAACTGCAACCGAGGTATGTGCCCTTAGCGGGAATTGAACCCGGTACTCTCTGGTCTGCAGGCCGACACTCTAACCACTGAGCCAAACTAACCAGGGCTCCCCTTTTCTCTCTTTCTAAAATCAATAAACACACCCTCGGGTGAGGATTAAAAAAAAATTAGTATCTGCTGTACCCTCACATCACAGATTATACTCAGATTTCCTCAAGTTGTTTTGTTAAGACAAAGTCAATGCAAAAGACAATTTTAATAGTGGGACAGTGTGTGTATATATGCATGTTATATTACTCAACTAGAGTCTGAGCCCAGAAAAATACAGAGAATATTGCTTAGTGTTAATGGTTTAATTTTCCTTATAGTGTCCTAGAAAACTCACTGTTTTCCAAGAAACAGTTCTGGCTGGCAGCTGAGGTATTTGCCTGCAAGAGAACCTGCCAGGTACCTTCAGCAGAGCTCCTGGCAGGCTGTGGTGATCTCGCTTTGTGATTCGGGCCCTGGGACGGGAGCGGCAAGGACCTGCTGGAAAGCAGCGGGCAAAGGAGCGCTGCGCGCCTGCCCACGTTCCCGCCGGTTCACCAGTCAGATGTCGTCGCTGTGTGTCAGAGGAGGCTGAGACACTACCGGAAGTCAGGCCGGGAGTTTGCAGCCTCTTAGCTGGCATTTCCTAGGCTTGCCCCTCTTACTGCCCCTTTCCGATAGAAAACAGGTTCTGACGACATCCCGAGAGGTAGTTCAGAGAGCAGTACGTTCCTCCCACTCCAGCCCAAGGGGAGGGCCTCGCTTCCTCTGGGGTTCTGACTCATTTCAACCTCACGTTTTGAAAAAGGGCTTTTAAAAAGCTAAACAGTAGAAAGAAAAGGTATCCGCTTTGTGTTTTCCGTATATGACTTCTTTTGAAACTAATATTGTGTGTCATTTCTGGAAGGAACTCAGAGCACTTTTATTAATAATTTAATATTAAAAAATTCTCATTACTCTGTCGCTGGCATTTTAAGGGACAGTATGATAACTTTTTAATTTGCAAATGAGCAGAAACCAGTAAGAGTAAGTCTGTCTGTCTTCACATGTGGGGTGAGGGGTGAAGAGCGGAAGAGCTTTGCTCTGAGTTTCTGCTAGACTTGGTCCCCAACTTTCTCAGTCTCCTTCAATCCAAGTAAGGTTGTAATGTCCTAGTTCTGCTTTAGGGATGACAGGTCAGCAGGGCTGAAAGGGCAGCCACCAAGTAAGCACAGTGCAGTGGGCAAGGGTGGGCCAGGGAAGTTGACCCAGCTGAAGGCCACCCGTGATCAGGCTCAGCAGGCCATCCACCCAGTCCTTTCTGTTCTGGCTTTCGAAGATATCGTGCTGGCCAGTTTGGACCAGAGAGACCCGTGTCGGCCCATGGACCAGAGAGACCCGTGTCGGCCCGTGGACCAGAGAGACCTGGGTTTGGTTCCTGCTAAGGGCACGTACCTTGGTTGCAGTTTGTCCTCGGCCCTGGTTGGGGTCATGTGAGTGGCAGCCAGTCAATGTTTCTCTCTCTCTCTTCCTCCCACACTCCCTCACGCTCTATCTGAAGATAAATGCAAAAATGTCCTCGGGTGAGGATGAAAAAAAAAAAGACATCAATGCGGGGCAGAACCCTAAGCCATCAGTACAGGAGCTGATGCATACTCCAGGTTCATGGAACGAGGAACAGAATGAGATGAAAAGGCCTCCGAGTGATCCGGCAGTCTTTACTGGGAAGGACCAATACACATTTGTGGCACTGTGATTTCTGAAAGCTGTTTGCTGGGATGGAATGTGATATATCTACAGCTTGGCCATATACGCTAACACAAGTGTACCAAGCAGTCACTTCTGGCCCAAATGTTGCATATTTGGGTGGTATTTGAAGTTTTTTCATTTTACCATGCCCTTCACATATGGAAATTTGGATTTTAAAGTACAGTTAAAAGGGATTGGAGTAAATGAAGGATCAAGGGAAAGCTGGCTGTACTAAATAGCCATTTCTTTGCCACGGAGATCTCCCCAAAAAACCTACCAACTTCTATCTGCAGAATTCACTGGAGAGAGAAAAGAGGTATTTTGTTTTTTTTTCCCCCTTTAACAACATACTGTTCTCTCAGGAGCTACTGATTTGCAAAATCATTGACATTTATCCACTTAACTTCTCATCTGGGATACACTTAACTCCACCTGTGTGAGATGCTATTTATAAGGTTCTTTCTGTAGACATCGTTTAGCAGACCCTCCCTCCCCCCCTCAGCAAGGTCTGCAGCAGCAACCTGCTGGGCGGGTCCCACCCCCTTCCTGCTCCAGGGCCACACAGACCAGGAGACAGGCTGTAGTGGGAAAGTCACCAACAGGCTAGACATTGGCCTTTTGGGTCTCAGCTTTCTCACCATGGCAAGGGGCTAACAATACCCTTCTAAAACTAGTTATAACGTTTCAATACGGAACTCCTTCTCTGTGCCAGGCACTAGTTAAATGTTTTCCTATTCAATTACCACTCACAACGACCTGGTGTGATATTGCTATTATCCTGGTTTTATTGATGAGGAAACTGATGTTATTTAACTTGTCCAAGCTCATGTGGCTAGAAAGTGCCAAAGCCAGGCCTTTAATCACTACATTAAAATAGCTGATAGGAATATTATGAAGCCCACATAAAATAAAGCGTGTACAAGCACTATGGAAAATATAAAAGCACTATACACACTCCAGTTATTATTTGTGCGTGAGCATCATTAATATTAGGGAACACTCTGAAGAGCACACTACTCATTTTAGGGAGCTGTTTCCAGGGGAATCCCCCCGCCCTCAGCTCGCCTCCTGTTCTGAGAACTTGTACTACGTTGTTGCCGATAATGTCATTACACAGTTGGCCTCTGCTGATTGACTGTCTTCATCTCAAAGAAGAGAAGTCAGGACTCCTAGCCATGTGGCTGGGGTTTAGGGACAGAGAAATCAGGGGCCCCTGTCGTAAAAAGTAGGGAGGATCCAGGCAGCAACCCACGGCAATTTCCTTGGCCGGATTCACCCAGAGAAGTCGGGGACTGTTACTGCTCTGATGTCAGAATCAAATCTCTGTCTCTCTGATGTGACCTGATCAAAGCACAAAGATCCTGGGGACCCGACTGCCATTTCCAATGGCCTCTGTCCACAGTGGTTCTTTCCTCTTGGGAAGGCTGGTGACCAGGAGGTTGTCATATCCATGTAGTATGGTCTCTTAGCCATACAAAAATCAGAAATTTTTTTTATACAGAAGAAATAATATTTCTTTAGATTCAACTAAGTTCGTTTCCCTCCCTCCCTAAATGACCTTCCTGTTTTTCCTATTTCAGCCACGACAGTCACCTGGACCCTCTCCTCTCGTCCACGCTCTCCATCCAATCTGCTACCATTCTGTCCATTTTACTTTTGTCTTTTTAATCCGTCTGTTTCTCACTGCTCCGACTGCGCTGCCCTTAGCCTGGCGTGGTCACTCCCTGGACAGCTTAACACCGTCCCCACGACCCTCTCTTCCCCCCACACAGCTGCTGGAGAGACTTTCCACACTGCAGGTCTCCCTGCTGCTAAACCCACTATGGCCCCTCTCCCCATTCCAGGGCCAACAGCCCTAGATTCTGAGGGCTCTGTAAACTGAACCACGGCACTGCCCCGCGGAGGGCAGCCAGACTTGAAGTGCAACCCAGAATGGGGGTGAGTTTCCCATTCTGTCCCCACCTTTTATGTTCTACCTCTGCCCTGAGAATAGCCCCAAGGCAGAACTACACAGACAGTGTGGCAGCAGAAACTCTGAGAAGAGCCCTGCCTTTGAAACCAGAGGAGGAGGAAAAGGGGCGTCCGTGGGCAGGCGTGTGGGGAAACCCGGTTTGGACCCCTTTCTTCTCTCTTTTCTCCTCACCCTGCCCCCACCACCTGAGACTCCACTTAAAACAGAGTTGCACTGTTGGGATCATTACCAAAGCCTTTAAAATCGTTTTTATAACTATGCTCCATGATAAAAGTAAACACTCGTGAAAAGACAGAATTTGCAGGAAAGAAATGGGCACGGCAAAAAAGGAACTGAACTGAATAAATAGCAATTTTAGTATTGAAAACCGTAATATTTGGAATAAATAAAAAGATCACTCGCAGAGTGGAGACAGGCACGTCAGTGGGCTTGGAGACAGACCGGCAGAAATGATCCAATCAGAAGAACCGACAGGAAACAGCCTGGAAACAAAAGAGCTTGTGGGGCAACATCAAAAGCTCTGACATTCGTGTCAATGGCTGAAAACTTCCTAAATTTGGTAAAATACACACATTTATATAAATCAGAAGCTCAGCAAACCCAAACAGGATAAACTAAAGAAAAGCAGGCCCATCCACGTCATAATCAAACTGCTTATCATAAGATAGAGAAAACACCACACTGCACCCAGGAGGGACTAGTACTCAGATGACTGCGTTTCTCATCACAGACCATGGAAGTCCACAGGGCCGCGTCCTACGGTGCCGACAGAGAAGGAACAGGCAACCCAGAACTCCAGGGGCACATCCTTCAGGAATGACAGCAGAATTCTTAGATGAAGAAAAAGGAAAAGAATTTGTCACCAGCGGACTTTACTCTAAAAGAAATGCTGGAGGAAGTTTTTCGGGCTGACAGGAAGACAGGCCAGAGGGGAGCTTGGGACTTCAAGAATGAAGGAAGAGGAACAGAAATGGGCATCTGAGATCCATCTGGGTCACTCATGATCTCCTGGAGAAAGCCAACTCTGAGGAACAACAGATTCTTTTTGCCTTTTGAAATTTTCCACTCAGTCTCGAAGCCAAAACCTCTTGCCCTCAGAACTGAGAATCATGGGCCCTGTTCAGGCAGATGTTTGCAGACGTGGCAGGGTTTCGCTGCAAGCTCGGACAGCAAACTGTCTTTACTTTTTATGTGTGTCGGAAGTTCAGATTATGAAAGTGTTTCATATTTTAAGTAACACATATTTACTTGAATTATAATATTGCATCAATAGGATATATAAATAGAAAATGTATTAAAGTTGAATAGACTTAAAATGCTAATTTCAATTTAACAAACATTAATAAATCAGGACTCTAGTCCACTGACTCTTGCTGTTTCATGCCTAGATATGCACCTTAGACTATTAATAACTTTAAATATTAGGCGACACTCTGCCTCAGAACAGTCTTGGGGAATGACTGACAGAGGGGCTTCCGAATCCCAAGACTTCCTGCTCCCAGGGTCTATATCCTGTGGTCTCACTCCAATACAGAAACAAGAGGGCTCTGGACACACACTCGAGAATATATGAAATAGAATCACATGAGAAAGTTTCTCCTAGAATCGGTACCACTGAGAACCACTTGCATTCCAGACGCAGCAAGAGGCAGCCTCAACAAAGAGTCCTTTTTTGCACGCAGGCCTGAGCCGTCGGGGCCGAGAGCACAGTGGCAGCCCCTCTGGGATGGAGGGAAATGAAATGGCAAGAACTTTCTGCCCGGTAGGCACAGGCGAGCTGAGCTCTTCATGGCGCGTGGTAAGACAACAGCAGCAACACGTTCACTTTGAAAACGCTTAGCGATGAAAATTTCTGCAAGAGGATCATATGCTAACAGCTAAATTCCAACACTGTGCTTTCAAGCTGTTCACTGGGGTATTGCAAAGGGAGCTCGGGAATTTAAAGATTTACCTTTTCCAAAATGTCTTTTGACAATTAGTCTCCCTTTCCTTAAAGTTTTGAGATTTCCTAGTTTTCCTTTTGAGCATGAAACATGAATGAAAATTACACAGGCCATTGGCTGGTCAGCTCTGAGAACTGCTGGGGTCCCTGTGTTGGACTCGCAGACAGGGGACCTGGGTTCTAGTCCTAGCTATGAGACATTTAGGAAATAACTTATTCCCACCAACCTTCACTTTGTCATTTATAGAAAAGAAAATGACAGGTGAGCTGTGAGGAAATTGCTCAACGTGCCATGCAAGTCCAGATCCAATGATGGTTTGGGTGAGCTTGGTGATGTGACAGGCCCCCTCCCCTCCTGCCATCAAGGGCCACTAACCCTGCTGGGACCTTGACTATCTTTCTGGGAGAGCAGGATATGGTCCCAGTTCTTTACCTTCTTTTCGTTGACATCCATCTGCTCCTCTTCCTCATTCATCTCCTCTGGCATATCTTTGATTTTGTTCAGAAGTTCAGCCTTGGGAGCCGACACACTGTAGTAGGCAGGGCAGTTGACCAACATGCCCACTGCTTCCTTATCTTCACTCCTGGGTCGTAAAGAACAAAACGTGTAGCCACACACAGCACATACCAAAGCGCCATTGCACCAAGTCTCTCCATTCAGACATGTATAAAAAATCCTATTCGATTACTTCCCAGAAACTAGGATGAACGGACTAATCAATACTTACTAATGAGTGATCACCTTGCACAGGGCTCCTAAATCCAGGCACACTTGGGATAAAAACCACCAGAGGCAGTACTGGGAAGGGGAGGAGTGGAAATCAGGACTGTGGACTTACCAGATGACTCAGGGCAAGTCATTTAACCTCTCTGCATGTTTTTCCTTTTGTGATATATATAAGAATGATACTGACTCCCTATTTCACAGAAGGGCAATGGGGAGCCAGGACTTAATCAGGGTGAAAGTATTTTAAAGCTGTTGCACAAATGTCAGATTTTAGATTATTTCCTACTCTGCCAGGCTTACCCATTATCTTTCCGATGTATATTATACTTGTTATTTGGACATTTGTCAATTTTCCTTCTCACTGAGCCTGACGTCCTATAGAAGCCTGGGAAACCTGGAGCTTGCTGGTCAGTGAATACAAGAGGTGAAATCTACTCACTGCTTACACGGCAGGGCTTTTCAAGGCTGCGGAACAAATTAGGAGTGGAGAAACCTGATACCTAGTGTTCTGGGTTTTAGTATAATTAAGTTGCCTTAAGATTCCCCACTGAATAAGTGGTTCTATGGAAGCAGGTTAGGTTCTCCTGGAGAGGTATTTCAACCATTCAACCATGAGACATTATGTAACATCTCGACCATCATTTTACTGTGGAATGAAAAAAACCCCCACAAAAGTCTTTTTTACTAGTTTCCTGCTTGACGGGACTATTCCTCTAAGCAATATAATTACATTTAATCCAGTTCATTGAAAAATAGAAAAAAGGTTTTTGATAGGTCCCCCCCCCCCCCCGCCCTGCTTTATTCATTCCATTACAAATGAGCTTTTCATGCATTTATTTGATAACCAAACCTCACACTGGGCATTTGCAGTCTCAAGCACAACAGAACATGCTCATGTCCACCAGAAGATGGCGCATGCCATCCTTTGAAATCCCACCTGCAAAAACTACAGGACCATTTCACTTCTAAATTGACCGAGAACATATGTTCTCAATGATAATGCTAAGGATGTACTTATAAATTACTTCGGTCTACCTGCAGCAAGGGATCAGAGAACAGAATCAAGTGAGCAGAAGCCCCTCCCTCTGACCTACCACAATCATTCATGCTGAACTAACTGGCACACCCCCAGAAGCTCTGGACCCCTCCTGGCACCCGGTGATTGCCTTGCACACTGCAGGTGATCAGTAAATGTTTGCTACACACACAACCCTGGATAAATCAACTTCACCTCAATTAGTTTCTGCCAAATCTGAAAAGCAAGGGGATGGACAAAGGCACTGTCCAGGCCTTGCATTGGGAAAACCTCTGATAACATATCAAAGAGCTTGTAAGTACTACATCTTTACTTCTCCCCCTTCCAATCAAAACATGGTGTTCTTGTTAATAATGCAGTTAGGACCATTTGGCAATTTCTAAAATGCAAGTCCAACTTTAGATGAAATGCTCTCTGTCGTTATTTAGTTTGGAAGCACTGACCGCAGAGTTCCAACCTGTCGATTCAGTTTTCATTGGAAATGAAAAAGAAAGTAAAACCACGCTAAATCTTTCCCATAGTAGTACTTTATGGAAATCAAACACGCAGGAAGGTATCACAGTGACTCAGGAGAAGTCAAAAGAATGAAAAATAGACTGCTCACGGTCCTTTCTCCCGTGGCTGGGCGCTGGGACACATGTGCGTGCACACGGGGGCTCAGAGAGCCTCAGGGCAGAGGCTCACAGGCGGAACAAAACCACACGCGTGTGCCCCCATTCAGACCTTTCTTGATTTTCAGAACACAGCAAACATCCACCCTAACTCTACAAAGGCGAACGTGAGTGTAGTAAATACATCTGCCACTAGGCTCTCATCCTTGTTACAAAGACCAGGCCCGCCCTGCCTTGGGGAGGCCCGGCATGCTCCGCAGGGTCCCTGGGCTCCCTGGGAGGCTGCGTGTGCAGAGTTAATCCTGAAGAGAGCGGCGCTCACGGGGCTGAGTTCAAACACAGACACCGCCACTCACGTGCTCCACGACCAGCTGGGCACAGCCTTAACTTCTCTGCGCTTCCGTTTCCTCACTTGTAAAATGGAGATAAAGCTGGTAGCTATCTCAGAAGGTTCTTGCGAAGATTAGACAAGATAACGTTTATATAAAGGAATTAATACGTTGGACCCAAAAGAACATGAAAATAGGTCTTAACAGCAATTGTTGTCACTATTGTTACTTTTGTGGTTGGGCAAGTGCCTGGTGACTCCAGGTCAGTCTGTCCCACTTCCCACTCCAGAGCCCCTCCCCCCAGGCCGACAGAGAATGTCACTCTTGGGTCAGGGTCTTTGGAAGCAGGAAAAGATCAGGTGAGGAGTCCCAGGCACATCACCCCGCGGATGGAGTTCGTTTGTAAGTCTGTTTGGGGACATCATCAGGGACTTACCTCTTGCCCTCGTACCCTGGGCAGCTGACGGTTCTCTGCGCGGCCTTCCTCTTTTTGCTGTTTGCCTGCAGCAAGGTGACATCGCGAGGAAACAAACCTTCCATCAGGTCCATAGTTGTCTTCATTCTGAAGTCTGGGTCCAAAATGTCTGCCAGAGATTTGTCTTGATGGACAATTTCCTTGGCCAGAGCCTCCGTTCTGATGTCTTCTGACGTCTTCTGAGGACCAGAACTGACATTCTTTTCTACAACCCGAGTCCCATTGAGTGGGTCATGGGTGAGGCCATGGGTCAGAACGGAAGGTGGCTTTCCTGGGCTTGGCTGCCAGCCAAGAGACCCGGCTCGCTGGGGCACAGCACCCGTGGTGGAGGGCGGGCTGGTCTCGCCGGCCTGTGACCCTTTGACAGGAGTTTGGGATCTGGAAGCTAGTATCTGATGACCAGTCAGGTGGGCTGTCCCAGGCATGGGCCTCTGCTTGGCAACGGTCCAGTTGGCAGGTGTGCTGGAGCCACTGGGGATGTTGAACAAAGAGGGTGGTAAGAGTAGAGTCAGTAGAAGGGGGAAGATGGGAGTGAAGGACGATGAGGGAGAAGTTTTCACCTCCAGGGCTGCAGCTTCCCACGTCAGGAGTGGGGTGAGGTAGTACACTTCTGAGGGGGTCATTCCCCCAAAGTTGCACATCCTCCAGGGCCTTCAGCTCAGCCCACCAGCTAGCTGGCCGCAGAGAGGCTGTGCGACTTTGAGGGGGTACATCGAGTAGGATGTTGCTCTCCTAATCCAGAGCCTTCTGAAGGGTCCAGGTGAACGGAGCGTGGTGATACATCACTCTGGCATCTGGAGGGCGTTCCCGCAAAGGTGATAGCAAGCAATGGGGCATGTTTTCTTGGTGTTGTGAAAGATCCCTTGTCCTAGGGAGTATGTGTTGGGCAATGCTCCCTCCCCATTCTTCTGGTTTCCAAGAACAGGTTTTCCCTAAACATTCCTGACCTTTTGCCCTACTCTTTATTCCCTTCTGTGGATGTGGAGAGCCTGTGGGGAGGGAAGCTAACCAGAGCCCATTCCTAGCCTAGCTCTTCTAAGAGTACGGCTGCCTGTAGGCATGCTCGCGTGTTCTCTTTCCATATGTATATAAAATGTACACACGTGTATGTGTGGATGTGCAGCATGGCCTGTGAACAGGCAGGCAACCCTATTTAATTTGGGGGCTCACCGCAGATAGAGGCCATCTCCCCCAGCATCAGCTCGTGCAGTCACACGGGTGGTATCTTGGTCTTCTGTATGCCTTCCTCTTTTCTCTCATTCCTGAACGGACTCAGGACTTGGGCAGGAAAGAGGGGTGCTATTTACGTGGACCCTCGGAACTTACCGTGTCCACAGCAGGGACTGTGCCTCCTGGGTGCCAGCCCATCTCCACTGCTCTCGCTCCCTGCCGCCCGGTGACTGCGAGTGCCCCACCCCTTGAGGGACGCAAAGGAATCGACCTGCCAGTTTCATGAGCTGAGCTTGTGTAAACCCTCCATACCAGGGCTCTCCTGTGGCCAACAGGAGGAGGGTCTGGGAAGCCTGGAGTGTGAACATCTATCAGTGAGGGAAACCCTTTCCTCCTCGGCTGAGGGCCTGCCCTACCCGATCTGCCCACTCACCTCGCAGGCAGCTCCTTGTTCTCCTCGCTGTCCAGCTGTGCCTCGTACAGAACTTGGGGGGGAGGAGGTGGAAAGTCGTCCCAGCTGTTCACGAGGGTTTCCTGGCTCGGGGGAGGAGGAGGAGGAGGTGGGGGTGGGGGCAGAGCTTCCAAGGTGGGACTGGACGTGGCATTGGGGTGCAAGTCCTTCACAAACACTTCATCATCATAGTCCTCCCGAGGCAGAGGGGAGGCCTGCAGGGCCGACTCTGATATTCGGAGGGAGATCCTCCCCGGAGTGCTTGGGACCCCAAGAGGCGTGTCTGGGTCGGAAGTGCTGCTTGAACTTGGGAGATTCTGCTGCTGCTTAGAGTGCTTCAGGTTTGCAAACTCGGGCAAGGAAGATTCCTCGGGGAGGCTGTTCTCTCTGACGGAGTGGGCCCACTTCACCCGAGACAGGAGAGGTTGCTTCCTCATCCCCTCTTCTACCCTGTGCTCTGGGCTGGGAGGCCCCTGGCCTCTAGGGCTGGGGGGCTGGCCCAGGCTGTGGCCGTTGCTTCTGTGAGTCACTGCTGGGGTGTAGGGCGGAAGAGGCTGCTGCCCAGTCTGACTGTCCCTCCTGGTCGGCTGATCACCTGCAGCCTGTGAACAGTAGCTGGAGGGGACGGGGGAAGGCAGAGCTGAGCCAAGGGGGATCAGAGGTACAGCCCTGGTGTCTGTGAGATGCCCTTGCATTCCTGCGGGCAGTGGCCTGGGGCAAGGCCTTCGGCTGGCCTGCCTCTGATGGTCCAGCTGTCCAGGACATTCGCTGGGAACTGAGGCACCAACTGCTTTGCAGCCTGGACCACCCCACTGAGGGCTGGGGTGGTGTTTGAGCAAGAGCGTCCCTTCTCCGCCTCTTTCTGCACAACTGAGTGACCTGGAGCGGGTGTAAACACAAACATGCCAGCACTAAGACAGGGGCCCAGGGTTCATGGCAGATGGAAAAGCATTTGCAAGGGAAGTTGCACACTCTCTCTCCCTCCCCCACCAGCTCATGCAAAGAACCAAGTTTACATAAAATACCAGAGAGGCACGACCTCCTACAGGAAAATGTCACATGGCATTTTCTTTTCTTAACTTTCTCTCACTGCCCCCACCACCCACAAGGTGGCTTTTGAGGACAAGCTTCGGGTTATAAAAGGAAAGCAACAAGTCAGTGCCTCCCGGGGGCTTCCTTTAGGACTGCTCTGGAACCAGCCCGACGCTGGGGAAAGAGCCTCATTCTCTCCAGCGCGGTCCCCCCCGGGGCGGGTCTGTTTGCAAAGCATCTGCTCCGGCTGCTGAAGTAGAAGGTTTTATTTTCAACTTTCTCTTAGTCTCCTAATGTTTTCATTTCTTCAACTGGAATATAATGAGGGGAAGAGTCTCACCTAAGGAGCTAATGAGCAGTTACCTCTGGAGAAAGAGATTGATAATAATGAACAAATAGGGTGCATGGTGATTCAAACAAATGTCCCCTATCTAGGCTCCAAGGAAAACCCCAACAATTTCCAATACTTTTGTTATTGTTCTACAGGGAAAATGGGAGTCTGCAGCACTGCCCGCCTGCTGGCCATGCAACAGTTGATGTGGGGAGAAAAGCTATCTCCAGCAAACCACCATGATTTACAAATTCCTGACCAGTACACCAGTGAATCTGGAGAGCAGATGGCACTTTTCACCTTGCAGATCCGAGTCCTCGGGGAGCATGGCTCAGTCCCAAGTCGGAGGCCAGTCTGAGAATGCAGGAGAATGCAGCACACTGAAGGGAAGACGGCACAGACCAAACTAGCCCTTGTTCTGCTACTTCTTCTTTATTATAAATGCAGAGTTGAATAAGGGGCCCATCTCTCTCTCTGATGCAACCCCTCCCCTTCCATCATAGATCCTTTTCATTCACAGTGGTGCAGTGTTTGTTGTTGTGTTTGTTTCTACCAGGACCTTCTCAACAGCCAGGATGGGCAATCTGTACTTCTCACTGGGTTCCCGAATGGTATACGGGAAGTCTGGAGGCAGGCGATTCGCTAGGGAGGCTCTGTCCTGTCATGTCTCATTCATTTCGGCATCCCCGGCACAAAGTACCCTCTTAGTCAATGTGTTGAACAATGTCTCTTCTACCCAACTGCTCTTTAAACTGCACCATACCAACTGTTTTTAAACTTAGCATCCTGTAATAGAACACGGAGTAAACTGATGTTCTAATGACTAATTTGGGTATCTTCGTTTTCCTTACTCTGTATCTTGAGGCTCCTTAGGGAAGACATCACTAAAGCTTACAATAAAAGAGTACAGCACTCATCCTTTAAGATCCAGCCCAGTAAACCTTGAGACGATGTTCTTTGTTTATTTAATCTTCTTAGTTTACGGGAATCACACTTAATCATCACCTTCAAACAGACAATTTGAGTTAAATGCTTGCTTAGCTTGGTTGAGAATGCTTCTCGTTGGTGATTGTTTTGCATTTTTCAAGAAAAAAGAATAGGATAAAAAAAGATTTTGTTTGAATCTTTTATACTAGTGTGAGAGGCAAGTACCTGCTGACAGGTCAGGAGCCCTAATCAAGAATGAGGTTGAGGGCAATTAGTCTCATTTTTCCCCCCTTCATAGCATTCTTTCTATGTGGTAAAAAACACTTAACTTTAACCATTTTAAAGTGTTCAGTTCAAGCCCTGGTCTGTTTGGCTCAGCGGTTAGAGCATCGACCTGCGGACCAGAGAGTCCCGGGTTTGGTTCCCACTAAGGGCGTGTACCTCGGGTGCAGTTTGGCCCTGGGCCGGGTTGGGGTTGTGTGGGTGGCAACCACTCGATGTATCTCTCTTACGTCGATGTTTCTCCCTCTCTCCCTCCCGCTCTATCTGAAGATTAATGCAAAAATGTCCTCGGGTGAGGATACAAAATAAATAAATAAAGTGTTCAGTTCAGTAGTGTTAAGTATATTCATGTCACTGCGAAACAGATCTCCAGAACTTTTTCATCCTGCAAACCTGAAACTCTACCTTTTTATTTTTTTATTATTTTTTCTTTATTGATTTTAGAGAGAGAGGAAGGGAGAGGGAGAGAGAGACAGAAACATCCATGAGAGAAACATTGATTGGGTGCCTCCTGCATGCCCCCCACTGGGGATCGGGCCCACAACCTGGGCATGTGTCCTGACCAGGAATCAAACCGGTGACCTCTTGGTGCATGGGTTGTCGCTCAACCGCTGAGCCACACCAGCCGGGCTGGAACTCTACCTCTTAACTCCTCTTTTCCCCCCTCTCCCAGCCACCATTCTACTTTCTGTTCTATAAATCTGATCTCTTTGTGAAGGGCTTATTTCATTTCGCGTAACATCCTCAACGTTCGTCCATGTGTCAGCAGTGTCTTCCCTTTCAAGGCCAAGTAAGACTCCACTGTACGAACAGAGCACCTTTAGTTCAGCTACTCGTCCACTGATGGACATTTGGGCTGCTTCCACGACTTTGCAATTGTGAGTAATGCTGCTGTGCACATGGGTATGAAAATATCTCTTCAAGACTGTGCTTTCAATTCTTTTGGATAAATACTCAGAGGTGGGATTGCTGGATCATATGGTGGATCGAATCTCCATTTTTTGAGGCATCTTCATACTGTTTTTCATGGCAGCTGCAGCATTTTGCAATCCCGACAGTGCACAAGTGTTCCAATGTCTCCACCTCCTCACTGCTTTTTATTTATTTTAAATAGTAGTTACATTAATGATCCTAATGGGCGTGAGGTGGTACCTCGTTGTGGTTTGGTTTGTACTTCTCCGATGATTAGTGACGTGGAACATCTTTTCATATGCTTGTTGGCCATCTAGCATCTTGGGAGACACGTCTATTCAAGTCCTTTTTGCGATCGAGCTGTTTGATTTTTTGTGGTTGAGTTTAGTTTCACCTTCGACTTCAGACCGAGTTCTCTTTTGGCAGTGTTCTAGCTCACTGTTAATTTCCCTCTGTCTCTAGCTTTTATTCATGTGCTCAGGCCAACCAGAGGCCCCAGCCTCGCCCAGACCACAGCCGCCGGAGCAAGAGCACCAGACAGCGGAGGGCCGCGCAGCGAGGGCCGCTCACCACCACCTGGCCAAGCTGAGGCTCCTGCGTGACAGTCCTGAGTTGGATTATTGAGAAGGTGAATAAAGAAGAGGAAAACAATGATTGAATGAAATATAAGAAAAATTAGGGAACTGGCTTGAAAACCATGGAAGGTAGTAGTGGGGGTTTAGATGTATTCTTGTTAGTAAATCCATGACAGCAGCCAGCCCTATGATGCTGCGCTAAAACGACACACGCGTGTGGTGCTGGGAAAACTCACTTCGGAATTTTCTACTCATTTAACTCCATGTGGGTCATTCAACATTTCAAACGCTAAGAAATTGTCCATTCTTTTTTTCTACCTAGGATAAATGATTTTGGTGATTAAAAATAATGACTTTCCTGTTATTTTCTCTCCCTTTTTGCCTAACAGTTATGATTGGGGTGCTTTTTCACGTCAGGTGCTTCCTGTGAGTTGCCGCTGTGGGAAGCTGTCCCTGAACCGCTCCGAGCGCAGCAGTCGCCAGGGGGCCCTGTGCGCACAGCCTGGGAGAGACCAGCGCGAGGCCCCGCGGGCGAGGGACAGGACGAGCCTGAGAAGGGCATGTCCCTGAGCTGTTCTGATGATGCTAAACTTCTTAGAAGTCACACATTCAAAACTTACTTTGAATAAGTGTCATTCGTCGAGAAAGTCATCTACAAATAAAAAAGTTCCCCACAGCTCACAAATGGAGAAGGCAGCACATGACCCAAGGAAACACTGTAATATCACAGCTCAGTTTCTTGTTCAGAGGTACAGAAACCCTGTACCCCAGCGCATTCACAAGGCGCAGGGCATTGGCCGGACACAAACATACCTGGATCCAGGGCCTGCCAAGTGACATGGGTCCTTCACAAGACCAGAGCCATTGTTTTCCCCCAAAAGCACATCCTGAAACACAAGAAGGGCACAGTGTTATGACCAACAAATTTACCAAGGGAGTGGAGGCAGGAAGGAGCAAGCACGGTTTGAGAGGCCTACTATTTATTGTCAGGCGCCATGGCGGCACTCCTCCCTACTACCCCCTTTCATCCCCAAGACCCCAGGAAGGATGTTAATCCCACTGCACTGATGAGGGAGCAGGCCCAAAGGTCACAGTGGCAGAGCTGGGATTTCAGCCACAGTCCGTCTCACCAAGGTGCCTTTCCTAACAAGGGCATTTCCTAAGCAAAAGAAGGCTGATAATCATCTCCAGGGTTCAAAACAGCTGCTGTCCTTGAAATACGATAATGAAAATTAATTCAAAGGGCTCACCTTTTGAAATAGCAATGGGGAAATTTGGGAGATGACAGGATAGTGTATGGAATTTAGCAAAAATCTCAAATGTTCTGAGTTGTAATTCCAGATGATAGGAATCTGGCGTGTAATCAGGTTGGAATATGTTCTCTCCGGGGAAATGTTTCACCCACACATAACATCAATATCTCTGGGCCTTTTCAGGTAGTCATTACTTGTTTGTCTTTGTTTTTTGTTTTTATCCTCACCAGAGCACATTTTTCCATTTTTGTTCAGATAGAGTAGGAAGGAGGGGGGGGGGAGGAGAGAGAGAAACATCCACGTGAAAGGGACACATCAAGTGGCTGCCTCCCGCACGACCCCGACCAGGGCTGGGGATGAATCGCAACCAAGGTATGTGCCCTTGACCGGAATCGAACCCGTGACTCAATAGTCTGCAGGCCAAAGCTCTAACCGCTGGGCCAAACCGGCCAGGGCTGTTTTTAATAAGGGTATTACTGGTTTCCTGAAAGGGTCCTCAGTCAGTTTTTGACAGTATAAGGTTTGACCCATGTAAGTCCCTGATGAAGACAATGTTGCTACTGATGATAAAACATTTAACTTTCAATTACGTAGATACTAGGGGATAGGTAGAAAACACAAATGAAATCCATACATTATCTCTATATTTAATTTCAGCAATTATTTCATTACTTAATCTGTCCAAAGAGCTAATTCCTTCCCACCCCCTTCTCCCCCACCCCAGACAGTGGTACAGGTACTAATAAGCAATAAAAGAACCACAGGTAGTAGGCACAAAGAAACAACAAACACCTGAAGATTGTTAGTGATTGCAGCTATTCTTTATTGGGCATTTACTGTGTGCCTGACACTCTGTTAAATGCCTTACAGTCCTCGTATTATGATCCTGGAGTTGTGTTAGGCACATGACATTTCTTCTGTAATTTAATCTATAACAGTGGGGAGAGGAGAGGTAATTGCAGCTCAGAAAGGTTAAGTATTTTACCCACCCACACAGTTAAGTAGGTGGAGGAGCCAGGATTTAAACCTTGATAACTGCAAAACACAGGATCTTTCTTTGGATTTTTTTGCAAGCTGAGAGGTAGCTGAGGTAGATGCAGTCAGATGTCAATGCTTTGAGAAAAAGGAATGCCATACGTCTCAGATTTGCTCAATTATCACTACAGGGAATGCGAATCCCTGCTCTCCAGGACACCTTATGATACCCACGGCACCCCTTCTGTTGACACGAATGTGCAGCTTTGCCAATACTTAATTGGGAGAGCCTCTAGGTCCCTATAAGCTCCTAACCCAGTATAACTTTTAAATATTTCCCATTCCGTTATTTCCTTTGAATTATAGTATGAGCTTAAGTTGATATTTATGTGAGTGTGCGTAGAATAAAGGAAATCAGACCCAGTAATAGACTATTGAGAGAACTCTCTAAATCTCCTGTCAATCAAAATACCATTTGGACAGAAGGAAAATGCCTTCCCAACCTAGTAAAAGCCAGAGACGAGGATACATTTCTACTGTATTTACTTGCTTTGATTAGGCAATATGCACATTGTCCAAGAAGACTTGACTTTTTGTAAACTGTTAAGAAGTATATACATTACTTACAGGGCAATTTACAGAAAAGCAGTGACTGGGGAAGAAATACCAGGTAGGGTTATACCAACAAATGCTTGTTAAATGTTGGTTTGTTTTTGTTAATTATCTCCGACTTCTGATGACCGACTTACTGGTTTTTATTCTTCATTAGGCATAGCATACTTAAAGCTATAGACCAAAAGCTTGTTAAGTCCCAATCCTCACTCTTGCTTTGGGTTCTGAGTTAGAAATCCTAATATCTCTGTGACCAACGACATATGAAGACAATGATATTCATCTGCTTTGGAATATCAGTTTCAAGTATCTGTTAAAATGAATTAAAAATCCATTTGAAAAAAAATCTTAAAATGTTATTTAAAAAGTAAATAACAGTAATAAATAAGTGTTAAAATGAAATCAATTCACTGGCTGAAGTTTTACGTATAAGATGTTTAACTCGCACCTCCCTCCCCGTCCCTCAGCCTTTTGTAGTTCAAGAAGGCAGCATGTACAGTGACTTCAAGACTCTGGAGCCAGAGAGTATGGGCTCAAAACCTTGCTCCCACTACCTTCGGCAAATTTCTTACCCTTTCTGTGCCTCAGTTCCCTCATCTGTAATCTAGAGATGATAACTATCAATTTTATGCTTATAAAAAACACTTAGTACAATGACTGGCACAGAGTACACATTTGATTGTTAGTACCTATTTGCAATTTTACATTCTGTGGAAAGTTGCTTCTGTTATTTATCCCCAAGCTTGAAAGGGTGCTTGTTGAGAGGTGCTAAAAACTATTTACAAGCTGCAGTCTCCAGAATCCAGCACCGAGGTTCCATACCTTGAGCCTTTTCCTCAGCAATGAAATGTTTGGCACGCCAACACATGGTTACATATCAGAACAAAGGTCTCTGAAAATACAGTGAGAACCAGAGAAGCCTCTAACTCAGCATCTGGAAAAAAAATTCCCCACCAGGACTCTTATTTCTTCACAGGTTTATTTTTATAGCCTCTTCTATGTTTTAGATCTAAGCAATGAAGAGGTGTAAATTTCTGTCTCAAAGGCAGAAATGTTTGAATGTTTTTCTGCAGGGCCCAGCTACTTGGAAAAGGTTAAGTTTTACACTTGCTGGTTTCGCTCAGCAGTTAAGAGTGTCAGCCCTCAGACCCAAGGGTTGCAGGTTTGATCCCCAGCCCTGGTCAGGGTTGTGTGGGAGGCAACCAACTGATATGTCTCACATTGATGTTTTTCTTCTTCCCTCCCATCCACTCTAAAAATCAATGGAAAAATAACCCTTTTTTTTTAACCCTCACCCAAGTATAAGTTTTCTAGTCTTTCAAAAGTAGGAAATAGGCAAGAATTGGTTGTGCCCTTCAGCTCCATCACGAATATCAATTTGTTCTGCAGTTACAGGGTTGGAATGAACAGGAATTAAAGGAGAGGTAAGGGGAGGCTGCGTGTTTCAGGGTGGACCAGGCCTGCTGAGTATCTGAGTAGGCCTGAAAGTGGTGGTAGTCTTCTGCAATCCTTAACTCAGGCCCAGGAATAATCAATTTCATAAGCAGAGGAATTTATTTCCATGCCGATCTTATTGTGAAGGCAGAAACTGTCCTCACTTATGAACTTTTGAAAAGAAGCTGAATCCTTGTCCAAAGCTTGTAAAATCCTGCTCTGTTAGTGTCTGGCTGGCAGGAGCAAGTAGCATCTGTTCAGGATGCCGTGGACTAAGCCAGCACCAGAAATAGACTCCATATTTTGGGTTTAACTCAGGCAGATGGTCTCTACAGTGTTACTTAATTTCACAGAGTTCTCTAAAGCTAAGATAAGAAAAATACTTGTATTGAATACCTTCACCAAAATTTAATGATAATGGTAAAGTTCCTGGATGTTTTTAAAATAAAAAGATGTAATAGTTTGAAATAACCACAATAATTATGTGGTGAGACTAGTTTTGTTTTGCTTTTAACTAGTTCTACAAATAAGGTAGATGATAATCGTATGAAGACAGTGGGTCGGACACTGCCATGGACCAGGTCCCAGAGCAGGCAAGCTTTGGGTACTGGAGAGGTGGGGGGAATGGAAGAAGGAAGCTCAAGAACACAGTCTTGGCACAATTACAATCTGGGGAATGGTAACTTTGTGGGAGCAAAGCTGCACAGTTAGAGCATTTCATTTTGAAACAGTCCTTTTCTGGTGTCATATTCCCCAAATTAAAGACTATCTAACTCCATGGTAATCTCTTTATTTATTTTTAATCCTCACCCGAGGATATTTTTCCCATTTATCTTTAGATAATGTGTGTGTGTGTGTGTGTGTGTGTGTGGCGGGGGGAGGGGGGGTAAGAGAGAGAAACATTGTGTGAGAGAGACACATCAATTGGTTGCCTCCCACACGACCTCGACCAAGGCTGGGGACAAACCTCAACAGAGGTACGTGCCCTTGGCCAGAATCGAACCTGCGACTCTTTGGTCTGCAGGCCGATGCTCTAACCACTGGGCAAACTGGCCAGGGTGGTAATCTCTTTATTAATGAGGGCACCTAAATAATATTCTTTATTGAGTTGTCTTTCTAAAAAGCATTGCAAATAATAAAAAGTATGTAATTGGGTTTGGAGGCATCTACACCACCTATGTTCTAGCTCTATTTCCCAATTTACCAGGTTTGAGAAATATTTTGTGGAGGGAAGGCAAAATAACGTTAGCATCCAACTGATTCCCCAAGAAAGAATGATGACATCTAGTGGTGGATAAAAAAAGAACAAGAGGATTATGTTTTTGCCTGAACATACATGTTCTTTAGAACATGGGAAGCAAAATGAAGCAAATGTTTGTTCTGCTATGCACTAAATGAAGCCCAACAAACTAGCTGCAATGGCATGTTACATATATGGATTCAAAAGTGTTTTAGTGCCCTGGCAGCTAGCTCAGTTGGTTCAAGTGTCATCCTAGTACACCAAGACTGCAGGTTTGATCCCTTGGTCAGGGCACATGTAAGCAACAACCAATGAATGCATAAATAAGCGAAACAACAAATTGATATTTTTCTCTCTCAAATAAATAAAGCTAAACAAATAACATACAAGTGTTTTAGTGGTAGGATAAGGAGTAGAAATTAGCTCTGTTCATTCTGAGAGGGAAGAAAACGGCTACTGAAATCTTAGGGAGGCTTGCCTCTATAGATTTGTGTGTGTGAGAGAGAGTTTATAGTGGGGAGAACATATTTCTGAAGATTCCTGGACAGAAAATACCTGGGAGGACACAGTATTTTTTCTCAGAAGGCTGTGTGTGTAGGTGTGTTTCAGAAGCAGTGCTATAAACAAACTTCTCAGGCAGTAAGGACTGAACTTTTTTAGTCTGAAGCTGTTTCCGCCAAATACTGCCTCCCACACACAACCCCCAATCCTGTGTCAACAACCTGCCCATCCTTTACAGCCTGGTTCAAATCCCATTTCCCTCGAGAGAAGCCCTCTGGGATCCCCTCAGTTTGACCTCACTTTCCTTCCCATGCATATTATTTATCACTGCTTCCAAAGCATTCATCAGTTGTGCTAGTTATTTACATTTAAGAACACATACCTTGCTCAATTGTGAACACCAAAAGGGATAAGACTTATTTTCCTTAAAGCCTGTAAGCCAGGGCTTTTCATACTAATATGCTCTACAAATGCTTGCTGAACGAATGACTTCTCCGCCAGGAAAACCAGAATTGAAGAGGGTCGGAGGGGTGGCTGCTCCTGTGCTAACATCTATGTGAATTCCTAGTATCTCCCTAGGTGGGGAGGGAGCCATGTGGGAGGCCACTGATCGCCTTGGAATGTGGAGCTGGAGGATGGGCTAAGAATTAGGGAAATTAATAGACTCCTAGGAGTCAGAGTGCTCAGGTTCCATTCCGAGCTCTGCCTGAAGTTTCCACTGGAAAGCACTTGCATAGTTTGGAGCCTTTATTAGAAAACCCTTTAATGTGAGACTTAAAATTGTCTGATTCTCCCTTTTTACCAGGATAGTACACAGAGAGGCATGGGTTTGATATGGATAATATACTGTACTGCATAGATTGTTGTGAAGATTAACAAGATGATAAATGTAAAGCATACTTAGCTAAGGGCCTGGGACTCAATAACATTTAAAAGTTAGTAATTCTACTTTGTAAATGCAAAAGTCCAACAGAAACACAGAGGGTACAAAGCTAAAATATTTAATTAAAACTCTGAGACAGCCAATTTCTTGAATTAAAAAAAAAAAGTGAAGAACAGAAAAGATAATCCCTAACTTTTCCTAACCATGCACTGTTGCACTGAGAGGTGACTTCCTAAAATGAAGTAATTATATAGAATATGTATATATCACACATGTAAACATATATAGATATCTATATTTTTATCTCTAAGGATATCAAATAGGGGCACTGAAAAAGAAATAGTCTCTTAAAAACAAATGCTACTCTTCTGCATGTAAAGGGAACACTGAAGGGGGAGGAGGGGTTAGGGGAGCAGCAATACAGCTTCCGGGGCCCAAAGGGCAGGCCTAGGATCTGCTGGCTACACCTACCTGGTGCTTCTTGTGGGTGGTGGGAGATGACCTTGACCTCACATGGACAGGGACCACCAGGAAATCCGAGCGCTCCAGCAGGTCCTCAGCCGACATGGACTTCCCGGCCCTCCCGGACGCAGCCGCCCACGAGGAGGGCTCCCCAGCGGTCCTGTCCACCTTCTGGGTGCCCTTTGGTCCACCACCTTTAGCTCCACCGAGCAGCTCCCTTGGGGCTTGGTCCCCATGTCGCCTTTCTCCCAGGACACGGCCGCTCGCAAAGGAGCTGCTGCGATCTCGGGCCCCACGTGGGGGCTCCCCACTGCCCCCTGCCGCCAGTAGGAGGGCGGCCTCCCTGCGGGGCTGCAGGCCGGGCTCCTGCAGTGAGCAGAGGCTGGAGGCCGAGGAGAGACCGGGGCCTTCGGGCGCGGCGGGGCCGGGCTGCAGGAGGGTGCTGTGGGCGCGCTCCCGAAGCGGCCCCGGCTCCTGCAGGCCGCCCCCCACGGCGGAGGCCGGCCGCTTGCCCGTCTTGCGCTGGATGTAGTCGGCCAGGGCGCTCTGCTGGAACTGCTTCAGCTCGGGCCCCGACAGGCTGAGCGACAGGCTGAGCGTGGAGCAGGCCTTGCCGTCCCGCTCGAAGATGCGGCGCCGGTCGGCCACCGTGCTCTCGGGGAATCGCAGCCCCTTCCTCTGCGGGCCCAGGGGCGCCGGCTCGGCCTCCTCCGACACCCCCACCTCGTTCATCTTCTCAGGCTCCGAGTAGGAGCGCTTCTTCTGCTCGGGGGTCAGGCGGCGGCGGGGTCCCCTCCGGGCAGCAGGCGGCGCGGGCCGGGCCTGGTCCCCCTTGGCAGGGGTCACGCTGTGCCGCTCCCGTGGGGTGTGCGGGGAGGCGGATGCTGGGGCCTCCGGGCTCCGCAGGCCCACGTGGGCCGAGGCTGGTCGCGGGCGCCAGGGCCTGGAAGTCCCGGCCACCCCTGGCTCGAGGTCTCGGCGGCGGAAGGAGGTGGCCCCCAGGACTCGGGACTGTGCATCCTTGATGCTGTTCCTGTAGGCGCGGCTGAAGGGCGCATCCAGGACGGGCGACTCGGGTGTGCCCGGCCGGCTGTCCCGCCACTTGGCATCCTCCTCGGCCTCGTTGAAGAGCTGGAAGGTGCTCTGGCTGCGGAGCAGGCGAGCGTCCCGCCTGGGGGGCTCACTGCCGCGGAGTGGGGAGCCTTGGCTGCCCTCCGCACCCCTCTTCAGCGGTTGACCACTTGGCTGCCAGGAAACCTCTTCCACCTTCGGTTCCCCGTTTCTGAAGTGGTGCTCCCCATTGCCTAGGGGTTCAGTGGATTCGGAAAAACGGCTATTGGCTTTCGTCTCCTGGAAGTCATTCCTGGAAGTACTGGAAGTTGGGGCCATCTTGTTAGGCCTGTAGTTATAGCCATTAATGGCGCTGACCACACTTGGGGGTCTCTGACGCCCTTGCTCTCTCTGCTCAATCTGGGAAACCTTCTCCAGCACAGAGCAGTGGGGCTTCCCGTACTGAAAGCCCTGCAGAGCTGCGGCTCCGCTGGAGCTGAGCCTCCTCCGGCCCAGACTGGAGGTCTGCTGGTGGGGTGGGGAGGGCAGCTCTTCATACCTTGGGTCTGAAAGGTGAAAAGAGGACAAAGCACCGGTTTTCCCCTCAGGCCTTGGATAGGAAACCGGCCTGTCCAGATGGCTCCTGTGATCTGGAACAACTTTCCTCCCAGGGTCCTCTGCCTTCGTGGTGCCTCCCAGCTCCAGGCTGCTTTGCCGTCTTAGGCTCTCGGGAATGTTCTGAAGAGAGGAGAAGGCTGACTTGGTCTTGACAAAGTTGCCTGACGGGCTCTGGCTTAGGCCTTCTCTCTCCAGCCCTTGCTGGAGGTTGGCATTGTGGTCTTCTTGGAAATCACCCACCCAAGGCTCTGAGGGCCTGGCAGATCTCTTGTCTTCGCCCACTTGCCAGGCCTGAGCCTGAGGGCACTGGACACGGTGGTAATTAGGAGATGGTTTATTGCCGTGGGGGCTCTTTCTCTCACTGGGATGTGGGCTGTTGCCTTGGAGAGGTGTGAGATGCGTCTTCAGGGAGGCATCCTCCTCATTCTCAGGCACTGAAGGGAAATGGACTTTGTAGGAGACACATTTGGCTGGCGTTTCAGGTATTCTCTCTACTGGGGACAAAGACTCGTGTTCTAGGGGTTGGTAGAAGGCAAACCCAGGCCTGCTAGACCCATTTTGGTTTCCATTCTCATCAAGGGTAGCCCTCTTGTCACAGGCTCCCTGCGGAGCTGTATATCCACTCTCCTTGGCCAGTGCAGGGTATAGCGTGCCGTTACTAGTTGCAGAGGGCTGAGGCACCTGGGCAAAGTGTGGCTCCAGGGAAGGCACTGGGTAGATGCCAGTCGGCAGCAGAGGTTGGCCAGGCTGGGCCTTCTGGGTGTAATTATGCTTGGGCTTCACTGGGGGGCTGCTCTCTGGACTCTTCTCCAGCACAGTATGCAGCTGTTCCTCTATGAAGGGAGGTTTCAGGGAACCTGAAGAGTTTGCCTGAGGCCGGCAGAACCGTTTCTGGTCAAGACTAGACCAAGAGCTGGGCCGCTCCCTGTGCCGAAAGGCTGCATAACTGTCACTCCGAGCTGGGGGCAGTGGTGCACCCACTTTAGGAGGCACGTTGTCAACGGCAGTCTCCAAGGAACTGGGACACTGCTGGCTCCAGGATGGGGGTGGCGCTCCCCTGCCCCGAGGAACATTATGCCCTTTATCATAGCTCTGGCCGTCTGCTGAGGCATGGGCCTCCCTACCTTGGAGAAGCAGGGCTGAAGAGTTCACCTCATACTCTGCTGAGACGCCCCGCTGGGGATCATAGACTGTCTTGACATAGCGAATGTCTGCCTGCCTCATCCCTTCCAGGAGGCCACCTCGAGCAGAAGTGGTGTCCATGGAGCCTGAACGCTCCCGACTCGAGATGCCAGGAGGTGGATACTCTAGGATGCTAGAACTGGTGGAGAAGGAGCTGTAGGCCGAGTCTCTCTTGTTATGTAGGTGACTGAGCTGGTCAATGCTGCTGGTGGACTTGGCAGGGGAAAGAAGATGGCAGGGCTGGTATCCCCCACTGGGCTCCAGGCTCTCCATGCTCCCCTGGGAGCTGCACTGGTCAGGGCTCCGCCTCAGATAAGCATGCTCATAGTTGGAGAGGTCACTCGTAGAGGAGCTGGAAGGAAGACAAAGCAGTCAGTACCACTGGGCTGTTATCACTTAGGACTCAGGCACGGGACTCAGCTTATAAATGTACTCTGGTGCAAGATGTTTACTTTTTGGAAGATGGGTGAGCGAGCCATATTTGGGCTCGCTCTGCCTCCCTGTGCGCCGTCACTAGGAGTCATTGCCCAACACTGTAACCTATGTGTGCCTCTAAGTAATCACCCAGGCTCGCAAGGGGAGGGGCGGGAGCACGAAAGCAGCCACGTAGCCTTCAGGCACAGGCAGCACGCTCATGTGATTTGCTATGTGCTGGAAATGGTGACACGTGCCAAGAAATGAGCCAGGTCGGGAGGAAAGAGGAAAAGAGGAGGAGGAAGAGTGATTGACACTGAAATTGAGTGTCTCTTGGGGTTGTTTGTGGGAAGAAGGGGAAAGCTTAGTGACTAGGCATGTGAATGGGTGAGGGAGACTGTGAGCACACGTGTATGTTTTTAGTTAATAACTTTCCTTTTTATGGAACTGAAGGCCTTCCACCCTGGCAATCTTCCTGGAATCTCAACGTACCGGGGACAATTTGTGGTGAGAAACTAAACACAAAGCTGAATGAGAGGAATTAAGAGTCAGAAAAAGCTGTGGGAGAGGGAAGCTTTATAAGAAGTCTTAATCACGAAAGTCCATCACCTGAGGATGACCTCCTGCAGCCCAGCCTCTCATCGTGAGACCTCATTTATGAGCTCCTCCAGGTGCTTTTCAGAGCCTGGCTGGGGGAGGGGAATGACTCTCAATCCTGGCATTGCACACCTTAGAAAGTTGTCTCAAATCAAAATTACTTACAATCAGCTTTAATTATAAACTCAAAATATACTTCACCTCGCATGTTGGGAGAGGGAGGGCATATAGGAAGGAGTAGGTGGTTCAAAATTCAAACAGCAGTCTCCATAGATCAAATATCTGTGACTCATGTTCTCTAAAGAAGGGTAAGTCACTCGGAGCTCTTTCTAAGAGTTTCCATTTTTACATGAATATGCACTTACTCACTACTGAAATTCATGGGGCTATTATTATATTTCTAGATTTCCTGTAGGTAAATATAGTGTCTTGGTGGCTGAATATGTGATGATGTTTTATGGCTGGACTGAGTATATGGCCGGAGACTAGAAGGACCATATTCTGAGTCAAAACTGCTGCTGGAATTCAAGAGAAAGACGACTACATTTTTAGCAACTAACCTCAAGAACGTAACTTTTCTGTATCAACAAAAATCAGCATCCTGCTTTGAGAGGGACAGGTATGAAGTCAAGGGAGAAAGGAAAGGAACAGCTACCGAGCCAGCCAGATGAGTGAAATCAGCCCTGGCACTCATGGCATGGCCTAGGTCAATGTCAGATTTTACCACCCCACCCTCCTCTAAACGAAGAAGCTGTATTAAAGATGCACATGGCGCCCTGGCTGGTTTGGCTCAGCAGTTGGAGCAGTGGCCCGCAGATCAAAGAGTCGAGGATTCGACTCCAGTCAAGGGCATGTACCTCGGTTTTAGTTCGGTCCCCGGCACTGGTTGGGGTCGTGCGGGAGGCAACCAATCCATGTGTCTCTCTCACATCCATGTTTTTCTCTCTCTCTCTCCCTCCCTCCCACTCTATCTGAAGATAAATGGAAAAATATCCTCGGATGAGGATTAAGAAATAAAACGCACACGGCCTAGTTCAGAGGGAGATAATCCCATCTGAACTCCTGTGCTTCCCTTTATCTCCTCTCCCTGAAGGCTGAGTGAGCTCACTGGGAGGAAGTGGAGGCAGCAGAGCCCATTCCATGCAGGTGGCAGACACTACTTAACCTCCCCTCTGCCGAGAACGTTAGCAGTCTTTCACGGAGAAGATAATTCACATCTAACTTAGGAACACGCTTAAAAATCAAAGTGAATAAATGGATGAATAAATGGGTGGGTGAACTGAAACACTCACTCACTGCTGAGTGGGAAGAAATGTGATCACTAACATATCTCAACATAGAGGTGGTGCCCAGAAACATGAAATAACTGGGGTACATCTCTCTAGCCAGGCAAAGCAAGGTTCGAGTGGGTTCCATCTTGTAGCTAAAGGAACTTCACCCACCAAACATCAGGTGGAAAGCATCCCATGAGGACTGTGACGTGCTCTTCCCTGCTACTCAGGGAGGGCTCTGTCCCTTCAGAATTCCCATTCCCACGCTGACTGGGAAACACGACCAGTGACATAGGCCATTGAGTGTCCTGACATCACCTTCTAGGAACAGGTTCTCCCACCCATTTCTGGAAGTAGTTATTTTGATTACCTTTGCCATTCCTGTTTCCAAAGTGGCACTCTTAAAGACGGGTAAGAAAAACCTGCAATGGAGATCTTTAGTCCTTTACAGGGACAGCCTTACCCTCGAGTCGAACGCGTCAAAGTTCTTATTGTAGTCTGGCTACTTTTCCAACCTCATTTTCTTTTCTTTTTTTTTTAAATCCTCGCCCGAGGATAGTTTTTTCCATTTGTCATCTGATAGAGTGGGAGAGAGAGAAGCATCGATGTGAGAGACACACATCGATTGGTTGCCTCCCGCATGACCCTGACCAGGGCCGGGGACCGAATCGCAACTGAGGCATGTGCCCTTGACCGGAATTGAACCTGCGACTCTTTGATCCATGGGCTGACACTCTACCACTGAGCCAAACCGGCCAGGACCAACCTCATTTTCTATTGCTTTCCTTCTTGCTCACGGCACTCCAGCATGGTGGCTCCTTACTAACTCACACCCATGAAATATAGGCCATGGCAAGGTCTCAGGGCCTTTGCACTTACTATTCCCACCGCACAGAATGCTCTTCACCTGGCTCACTCCTTCCTTTACGTCTCTGCGTCAGAAAACACCTGGAACTCGCTAAGGAGCACACCTTCTCTCCTTACTCCCTGTCACTCTGCTTTATTTTCTTCATAGCACTCACCATACTGGACATTACATCATATCCCTTTGATTATGAAGAGACTTCAGTCAAAGCAAAAATGACAAAATGGGAATTCTGTGGTAGATTCGTGCATTCTTTGTTGCTGTTTTAAATCCTTACCTGAGGATATTTTTCTATTTATCATCAGATAGAGTGGGAGGGAAGGACAGAGAAAAACATCGATTTGAGACACACACATCGACTGGTAGCCTTCAGCATGACCTGACCAGGGCCAGGGATGAACCGCAACCGAGGTACATACCCTTGACTGGAATCGAACCCACGCCTCATCGGTCTGCGGGCTGATGCTCTACCGCTGAGCCATGCTGGCCAGGGCAGATTCATGCATTCTTATAATGTTACTCTATTTTGTGTGCTTAAAACTATTTTGTAAATACTGAAAACATAGCAAAGAGCACAAAACAAGTGCATGAAAACATCTCCTACAGGGTGCTTACAGAAAATGAATTCCTTAGATGATCAAATATGCTTTCACACTGGGCTAAATGAGTTCAAGTTTTATTTGCTGCAAGGCTTCTGAGTCTTCAATACATTGGTGTTCATGGGGTATTCTTAAAAGAAAATACACTAAGTGGTATTATCTAAATTTGAACCTAGAAACTTTTCCCAAGGGGCATCTAGTGGATTATTATTCCATGGAACACACCTTGGGGAACAAATATTACAGGATAGGGGCTTTTTGTGTCTTGTTCATCTGAAACATAGTGGGTACTCAGTACGTATTTGTTTGAAAGAATCAATCCATGAACAAGTACAGGTACTTGAGTATTTTGATAGTATTTTGTTTCATCCCTTATGAGGGCACTGGACTACCAGACTTTCCAAGGTCTCGTCTAAAGTACTTTAATACTTCAGGACCACTGTGTGAGATTTCTTTAGGACAGTGAAAAGACAGTGACGAGGGTCTGACAGAGCAGCAGGAAGACCATTTCAGTGAAATCCCAGATCTGAGCCAGCTTGCAGACAATTAAGTCTTCAGTCTCTTTGTATTTCTCTCTCCCGCTCCCTGCCCCCCTTCAGCTCCCTCATTCTCCTGCTTCTTAATGAGAAACAGATGCACAAACTGAGGGCTGAGACTGGTCTCTGGAACTAGAGGCTGCCAGAGGGGTGCCGCCAGAGGGATGCAGCGCACGAGACCACTAGGTGCCACTGTGCTCCACAGAACCACACCTGGAGTGCTGCTCCTCCCACAGCTGCCAACTCAGACCCATGGAGCAGAAGGCAGAGTTGGGGGCGAAGTCCTCTGCCAGAGCTGCAAGCCTGAGGCATGGAATGAACACAGATCACTGATTTGTGCTGGGGTAGAACAGAATCCACACGTCTCTCCCATGTTGGGTAATCTGAGCCTTTCTTTCTCCTTGTACCCCACACGGTGCCTTTGGGCTGACAGTCATTGTGTCAGGAGCTGTTCGGAAGCCTGACTTACAGGGGAGACCGGTGGATACAGTCAGGGCAGATCCACCTGCGTAAATGCCTTTGGAGGCTGGGGAGGAGGAGACAGGAGGTGAAGAAGCAGCCTTCAGAATGCTGCACTTCTGATGCCCACAGCACCCCTCTCCGGGGGCCTCGTGGGGCTCCCCACAGTCACATGAGCACTCACTCTAGCACTGCGGGCAGTGATCTTGTTCCTGTGTGACTTCGGATTCAGGGCCTCCTAAGGGGAGGGGTCAGGAGGCTCCAAAGCGCCCTACTGTTGAGGGCACTCTGTTAACACACACTTGCATTTCATAAGTTTGTGCTGGTTTATGCAATTAACCTTGAAGTTCGTTACCAGGTGTCACTGTGCCTCTGATAAGTCTTCAGCCTAATTATTATAACTAATTGTTATAATTATTGAGAGCTTACTATGTTCCAGGAACTACACTAAATGTTTTATGTTATTTCGTTTAATCTTTTCTGTGCTCCATTGATATATATATAGTACTAATTTCATTTTATAGACGAGGAAACCAAGACCAAAGAGGCTAAACAGTTTGCTTAGGTTCACACAGTAGGGGGGGAAGTTAGGATTTAAACCCACGTCTGACTTAAAATCCCAAGCACCTTACTTACCATTATGCTGTCCTTCCTTCACACTGAGCCCTCACCCCACCTGAAGGCCTCAACACCTGCCCCACCGCAAAACCACTGTGCCTGCAGGGGGTGGAGGGGCGGGGCACTGTTCTCTGAGCAAGGAAGGCTCAGACAGGGAGAAGGAATTCTTTTTTTTAAATTCCTCACCCGAGGATATTTTTCTACTTATTATCAGGTAGAGTGGGAGGGAGGGAGAGAAAGAGAGAAACATTGATGTGATAGAGCCACATCGACTGGTTGCCTCCCGCATGACCCCATCAGGGTCAGGGACAAATCACAACCGAGGTACGTGCCCTTGACTGGAATCAAACCCGTGACTCTTTGGTCTGCGGGCCAATGCTCTAACTGCTGAGCCAAACCGGTCAGGGCAAGAAAATGAATTCTTTCAGGGTTATTGGGAGGGACGGGAGCAAGGGAGAGGAGTGTCTGGAACAAGGAGGGTAACCTGGAAATTCTCTCTTCCTGTGGCTTGAAGCCTACCCTACTATGCGGGGAGGCATGTCTACCAGTGAGAGGGCTAGGATTCGGCTCTTCACTGGCCCAGACCCGAGTGCTCAGGGTTCTGGGTCCCGGCCTTGCCAAATGCACAGTCATCATCTGTTAGCTAAGCAGCCCTTCCAGAAGCCGCCCTCGACTCCCCCCACGTCAGCACTTGCATCTCATTTACGTACGAGGCATAGTCTCCTGACCCTTCCATCTCCCCACCATTACCCTTATCGTGCCCTTCCGAAAAGTGACCAAGCAACAGAGCCCGACTCTCTGGGCCCAGAGGATAAACTCCAATCTGTGTGGGTTCAAGTCTGCAATAAGTGTAGGGGAATCCCGACTTCGTTTTTGCTTTACGGAGTCTGGGTGGTCAGGTGGCTCTCTGCTCCCCAGCCCCTGTCATATCTGACTAAAGCAGAAAGGACATTGAGTGTTGAGGGAAGAACTTGGTCAGTTTTCCTACGATAGTGCTATAATGTGGAAGTGAGAAATGTCTGAGCATCAGCAGACCCAGTAAATATCCCGAAGAGCTAGCCACCGCTCAGAGTAAGGCTGTCCTTGTTCCGACCAATCTCGCGGGGGACATAAAGATGAGCCGCCACGTTAGGAGTTGTAAGAGGATGAAGACGGTAGTGGGTAGAGAGATTTAATACTCAGGGTGAATGGAAGAAAATATTCTGAGACGGAAGAAAATGTTCTTTTGGGGAACAGGACATTTGAAGAAAAGAACCCCCTGGGTTTCAGCTTGGGCCACTTACCTGGAATGGTAGCTCTGGGGCCAAGGAGGGCCAATCGTGCCCGGAGATATTTGCATCATGCTGGCATTGGGTTGGTGCTCCCCAATTTTGGTTGAATGCCAAGAGTGCGGCCGGCCTGCAGGTTCGCTGCGCCTGGGGAGACAGGAGGGGGACCCCACCGTCAGCGGCATTCTCAGCTGAGTCGTCGCCAATGTGGCTTGTGCATCTGGAAAAAGACTGCTACATCCTTTTCCTGAGATTTTTAAAAAAATCAAGTAAACAGCGGAAAGTAGGTTTTACTGCTTATTTATCTTGCTAAGCAGTATTAGTCTCTGCTTTATTAATATTTTAATTTTCATTTAACTTAAAATTAATATAAAAATGCAGCAAACTTAGCATGAAGAATTCCTACATAAACCCTAGTGACACTGTTGGTAAGAATGCAAATTGGTACAGCACTAGGGAAAATAGTAGGAAGGTTCTTTAAAAAATTAAAATTAGAACTACCGTTTGATCCAGCAACCCACTTCTGGGTATATATCCAAAGAAAATGAAATCGGGATCTTATAGAGCTATCTGCACTCCCGTGTTCATTGCAGCATTACTCACGATAACCAAGACATGGGAACAACCTACGTGTCCATCAACAGATGAATGGAAAAAATATATATATAGGGTACTATATATATTCAGTGGAATACTATTCAGCCATGAGAAAGAAAAAAATCCTGCCATTTGCAACAAACTGAATGGACCTCGAGGGCATTATCCTAAGGGAAATCAAAGAGAGAAAGACAAACAGTGTATGATCTCACTGACACATGAAAAAAAAGAGACAAACTCAGAAAATTGAGTGGTGGTTTCCAGGTTTTGGGGAAGATGGGGGACGGGGAAATTTTGGTCAAAGGGAATATATTTTAAGTTAAAAAATTAGCCCTGGCCAGTTTGGCTCAGCAGTTAGAGCATCAGCCTACGGTCCCGAGAGACCTGGGTTCGGTTCCCGCTAAGGGCATGTATCTCGGTTGCAGTTTGTCCCCGGCCCTGGTTGGGTCGTGCCGGTAACAGCCACTTGATGTGTCCCTTTCATGTCGATGTTTCTCTCTCTCTTCCTCTCTTTCCCTTTCACTCTATCTGAACAACAACAAAAAAAAGAAAAAATGTCCTCGGGTGAGAATAAAAAAAAAAAAGATTAACAAATTCTGAGGATATAATGGATAGTATGGGATTATAGCTAATAATACTATATTATATTTTGGAATGTTGCTAAGAGAATATAGATCTTAAGTGTTCTCACCACAAAAAAGAAATGGCAACTATGTGAGGGGATGGAGGCAGTAGTTAATCCTATGGTGGTCATTTTGCAGTTTATAAATATATCAAATCAACACACTGTACACCTTAAACTTGCCCAAGGTATCAACTATATCTCAATAAAGCTGGGGGAAGAGAATTCCCACATAACTTTTGCCTAGATTTCCTACATGTTAACGTTACATGCTTAATTTAAAGCACACAAAGTTGCTTTGGTCTTCCTTGGCCTCGGCTTATCAATACAAAAAAAAAAACAGGAGCAACAATACTTCCCCACCTCCCAAGGCAAAAAGCTTCCTGGGGACTTTTAAGTCCTTTGTCATATAGCCTGATACTGGATAAATGCTATTATTTTAATTTCTTGGAAAGAACTACATAAAACCAGCAGCTACCTCAGTGGCAACACTGTTCCAAGCTACAAGAGCAGTATAAACAACAAGATGCTCTCCAAAATAGTTTCTCATTTTGCAAGTCAATGACTTCAGCTTTTAAACATTCTGTCCTTATAACACAAAGAATGGACAAAGCCAACAGGAAAACGTGGGTGCCCCTCAGACCGCAAGACTGAAGCATGGATTTGGGAAGGAGGGTTACACTACTAAAGAAGGTCAGAGACCGGAGAGTTGCTGGGCTTTATTTTTGGCAAAAAAGTGAGGTGAGCTACCAGGCATTTCATACTGAAAATTTTTTAACTGTAAGATGACAGGGGAATTTTTTCTTCAGTTTAGAAACACTTAGGGGGATCCATGAATCCACTTTGATCTGTTGAAGATAAAGCTGTATGTCCATCTATTACTTTTCTGTAAAAAAATAAATTGGCTTTTATAATATAAATGAGAAATCATTCCCCTGATGCCAATAAAAATTTCAAGTGTCAAGTACATCAGAATACTACTAGCCCAGTGTCAGGAGACTTGGGCTCACCCTGAATGTGTTATTAGCCTGCTGCATGACCCTATGTAAGTCACTTCTCCACCAGAAGCCTCCATTTACCTAAAAAAGGAAGACATTAATCAAAGAGGCTGGGTTAACCTCATTTTAATCTGAAATAAAATAAGAAAGACAATGAAGGACTTACCAAGAGAGATGATTTTTAAAAAGCATATATTTAAACTCTCTGAAGAGGTTATAGTGATAGGAAAATGGTTTTGTGTGACACAAGGGATATAGACACATAAGATTTTCAGCAGTCAGTTAATAAATATTTATTGAATTAAAAGGGTCTACACTCTTAACTACTCTGAGTTTCCTCACCAGTAAAAGGCAGAGTGTTTTTTTTTTTTTTATATTAAAATGAGATAATATACTTGTCCCCTAGGAAGAGCTCAATAAATGTTGAGTATAATTATCCTCAGTCGTTCATCATTAATCAGCTGATAAAGACGAGAGAGGCTAAGGAGACCAAGCCCATCGGAGACCTCAAATGCAGGACAGAAAGGGGAGAAAGCAGCTGGGTGAGCGCAGGAAGAGAGGGGAATGGGCAGGGACTGTTGGTGGCAATGAGTCGCCCAGCTCTGAGCTCCCCAGTAAGAGGCTGAGAGTACATAACTGTGGCAGAGGCTGGTCTAAGACTGACTGTGGTCACAGCCTGAAGGACCCTGGCCATGCCTGTGAAGCAGGCAGCTGCTGGGCAGTGGCTGTCACTTCTAGTCAGGGAGGTAAACACAGGCCAAGAGGGGGTAGACCTTGCTCACCTGGAAACTAGGAAGGAACGGAAGGAAATCATCCCATAGCCGAGCTAAAGAGAGGATATAAGATGCAAAACCAAGAGACCAACAACGAGAGCCAATATGTTACAACCTGTCTGTCTTCTTGCCCCCATAACTGTCCCGTCCTCACGACAGGTCCCAGGTAAGCCACACTCAGGTTCCGCACGGCCCCACCGCTGAATCAGTCCTGTTCTCAGAGGGGGAAGCAGGAGCTCTAGTTAATGGCTCAGAGTTTTAGTAGTTTGGCATCCTTGCTGCAAACCCTACTGTGACCTTGGACACCCAGCTCCCCAGAAGCTAGGTTCTTCAACCAGTTCCTCAGTGACTCAGATTCCTGCTTTATCGTTCAGTTCCGTTCAGTGATTTGAGATCCTTCCTGGTGCCCCAGGCCCCTCTGGCACTGGCCCAAATCTCAGAGCCCTGAGTCTGGGTTCAAACCCAATTACAAATGAGTTCAGGTACTTAATTAGTGTCACTGTTAATTATACAGGAAAGGCCCAGAACTTAATGAAAAAATAATGAGTCTTTTTTTTCTTGTGGTACCTGGCGACATTTCATATGGGTCCAAATGACACAGGAGAAAGGACAAACTGCCATTGTCCTGCCCCACATTTGGCAGGACCCCTCTGTAGCAGGAGGCTGACCCTATGACTGGGGACTGGCCTCGAGAAGCCGATGGACGCAGGCGAAGCGGGAACTCAGCCTCGCCCCTGAGCGTGGTGCCCCCAGGACCGCCTTCAGCGCGCCAGCCCCAGCGGTATCTAGCCATGCCTAGCTAAACAGACGGACCCAGGAAGCTTTTCCCACCCAAGGGAAATGGACAGGCCCCGACCAACTCCACAGGCTCTGCAGAATGAAGATCCTTCTTCCAGCCACGGAGGTCAAGTGTGAGAGGGTTTACTGAACTCCAGCGGTTCCAGAGAAGCCCTCTCCTCTGACATCTCTAAGGAGAGAGGAGGTGCCCGAGGTACGACGTAGCAACCCAGACTTCCCGTCCATTGGTACACCTCCTTCATGAAGGATCAGACACTGCTGAAAGTCCTAAATCAGCCGTGGAAGTCAAGAGAGACTGTGTATAGCACAATGAAGGCGAATGGAGCTATTTCACCTAGGTTAAGTGCAGAACATTCCTCTTTGTGCTTTGAAGACAATAGCAAGGCTTTCTTTTACATGTAAGCAATCCAGACCTTTCCTCAGTTTCCTTCCCATTCATCCAGGGGACATCCAGAAACTTGCTTTATGTCAGCCACTATGCTGGCACTGGGGATACAAAGAATAATAAAGTTTCATCAGCCTCAAACAAGTCACAGGGTAGTAGAAGTGACAGCCAAGTAAACTGCTAAAATATAGTGTGACTGGTTCTGCAGAGACCTGAACAAGATGCTCAGAGCGGGGAGTACCAACACTTTGTGCTTGGGGCAGGGAGCCTTCACTTTTAACTAAGTCACATAGAGTTTATCTCCATGGAAGTAGGTGGGAAAATAAAGGGAAGGACATCCAGGTAGAGGAAACGGCATGACAAATGCCTAGAAATGTGCAAGCACACAGTACACCCAACTCATAGTGCCCGGAGAAGAGATGAGTAGGGGAAGAGCAGCAGGTACAGGAGAAGAGGTAGGAGGGGCCAGATCTTAGCATGCCTCTAGCGCCTGGACAGTATCCTGTGGAACTGCAAGTCACCAATAACACTAGCCAGGGAGGGCATGTTCAAATTTGAGTTTCAGGAAGATATCACCAATAACAGAGTATAAACTTAAGAGAGACAAGATTGGCAGCTAGTAGATTGGCCAGGATCACTTAATGAGTGATGAGCACTAAGGCAGTGGCAGTGAACTTGAAGAGATGACAGATCTCAAAGCCACTGAGGCGGCAAAATGCCCACCCAGCCTAGTGACTGCAGCGATGTAGGTGGTGTGGAGGAGAGTCTAGTCAAGGAAGAAGGATGGCCTTCAGGTTTCTAGAATGGTAGTATTAACCTAGATAAAGAACTATTAAGTGGGGGATGAGAGAGGGAGGAGACCGGAGTGGGGATACAGACGTCAGCTGCCTGTGCAGTGTTCAGCGGAGGTGTACGGTGCACAGTAGGGTCTCAAGGACTGTGATCTGGGCTGCATACAGAAATGCAGGAGTCAC